CTAAATTTGTTTAGACTTAATTATATAGGGGAAGGTATACAAAATCAACAAAACCGTGATTACCTAATATATGGACAACTCCTTATATAATTACTAGATTCCTGTTCAACCTTGCGAAAGTTCAAGTATTCTAGGATAAATATAGCACTAGCTGCTTAAGGGAACCTCAGCCCCGAAGCTCATTGCCAAAGCCTCTTCAAATCTCCCCACCTGTTGTTCATTAAAATGTTTGAGCACTTGATGTCTCGATGCAGAAAATTCTTCTTGTGGCAATAATTGAGGCCATCCAGAAGCTGCTTCATGATGCTGGCGTTGTTCTCCTCGTTGAAGTCGACCATGCCTGACTCGAGCAGTCCCATCAGATCGTGGTCCATGTATTCGAAGACCAGGTAGAAGGAGCCCTTGTCCTTGCGGAACTCCACGGCATCCTGTTTGTCCGTCACAATTTCGTGAAGATTGACTATGTTGCGATGGTTAAGTTGTCGCAGTATTTTTATCTCACGCACAGCCGTTATCGGAAAGCCTTCCTTCTCATGCTCAAGGCGTACTTTTTTGAGGGCCACCATGTCGTTAGTATGATGATCCCGCGCCTTATAGACCTGCAATGCATACATTTCATACAAATAAATATGTATATATTAAGAGCACTTTTAAACCCGTTTACTAACCTGACCGTAAGTTCCTTCTCCAATCTGTGCAATCATCTCAAACACGTCCACACATCGCTCGCCCCAGTCCCGGATGTTGTTCCTCGAATCCCGGCGATTTAAGATCACTGGTCGACGACGGTTTGTTGGTCCAACATGTCCACTACTTCCGGCCGGAGCATCAAAGTCTTCGGGACTGTCAATGACGTCATCATCGCCGCTTAGCTCCTCGCTGCCGGGGATAACTGGCGGCATGGGAAGATTCAGCAGACTCTTGTTGGCGCCAGCGCCGGTGTTGGCGCTCGGATTAATGTTCTTTTCGTCGGATTCCTTCTTCTTCTGCGCTGGCGATGGAGATCTTGCGTTAACCAGGTCGAGGGCATTCATTCCAGGTGGCAGCGGCAACGACGTTAGGCTCTTCGATTTAAGGCTGTGCTTGGTCGCCGAGACGGTAGCTATAGGTAGCACTGTTTGCTTAATTGGCGTGGAACAGTCCGGGATGTCGGTGCTCGCACTGGGGTTCAAGGCCAGTGCCTCGTTCTCCTTGTTTGGCATGGGAATGTTGTTAAGGTCCACATCTGGTTTATTGCTTCCCAGGACTGCAAGACCGTTTGAGACCGTTGTCGCCGTGGCTGCAGGGGTTACACCACTGGGGACAGATCGGAGGCAGTCCCCAGTGTTGGGCGTATTTCCATCCACAGAGGAACTGTTGTCATTAATTGTAAGTGCTCCGTTGCTGTTGGTGGTGCTATTACTGTTCTCCTCCTGCCGCTCAATGATTTCCTTCAGCGCTTTCTGCCTTTTGTGGCGGTCCTTCACAAGCTCGGCAAATAGACTTGTCTCGCTGATTTTTTTAATGTATTCCTCCCGCTTGTGTTTAAGATCACGCGACGTGGGCGATCGACTACGTGAGCCGGAGCTGCCGCTGCTGGGCGAGCTTGGAGATCTGCGGCGACTGCCTCCCCTAGTTCTCTGGTGTAGCTTTGGTGAGCGACGATGGTGATGGTGATATGAGCTGGAGGCGCCCACAGGTGAAGGCGATGATGCCGTTTCCAAATATCGCGAACTTGTTCGCGGCGATCTTGAGTAGCGATCGGTGGCAGAGGTACCGGTGCCCGAAGAGCGCTTGGACGACCTCGACGCATGGGAAGGCGGCGATCCGGCATTCGCACCATATTTGTGTTTGTGGCTGCTGCCATGTCGAAACGCATTCGTTGTTGCTCCACTGGACGAAAGGCCGCCGACGGGGGACTGTCGATTACGCGGGTGGTGCTGCACACTAGGACTCCTGCAAAAAATATTGAAACCAGAGTTAGTTTAAAAGTTATTACTTTTGACAGTGGATTGAATTTAGAAAACTAAACTCCGAGAGAGTGGAATGCAGCTACCTGGATGACCTCCTGGAATACCGATCCCTGCTATAACGATCGTATTTTCCCGAGTGATGCCTACTATGTTCGAAGCTGCCGCCAATGGTTCCCACATCCCGGCCATCGCTGAACTTCCGTCGCTTGTGGGGCGGCGTGCTCGGATGATGGTTGTAGCGATCCATCTCTGTAACAAATTTTATGATAGTTCAAAAAAAAATGTTTGCCTCGCCATGAAAAAGTTAACCTACCCGGTGAAAGCCGCTTTACTTTTCTGGCATCATGACTGGTTGGACCTGCTGCAGAGTAGCGAGGCTGAAAGCCGTGATCGTGGCTGGAGCGGTGGTGCGTATTTAAATCCTCTTTGTGAGGACTTGGTACATATCGGGAACTGCGAGAATCTCGGGGACCAGACCCACCACCTCCACCGCCGCCGCCGCCACCGCTTGAGGATGTGTAATGTGAATGCGGAGGTGTTCGCGGTGAGTTGCCAAACCTCGGCCCGTTGCCACTAACACGCGTTGAAGGCTGAGGGGAACGATGACGGCTGCTGATTGTCTGCTTATTCGTTACAGTGACCTGCAAATTGCTACCCAGGGCCGCATTGGCCGTTTCCACAGAAGTCGACTCCCCGTAGTAGGTATTATTGCTGCTGTTGGTGCGACGCGCCGGCGGTGGAGTTGCTGGCGAACTGTTCTCCTTGTGGTTGTGTGGGGTAAAGGAGGACGGCCCCGCGCTTACCGTCCGCTCACAGCTTTTGCTCGGAGCGGTAGGCGGCGTGTATCTACGGTCTAGTAAGGCGTTGATGTCATCGTTATCCGACATTGAATCAATACTAGAGTACGACTTGGCCCGCTTCTTTTTTCGCTTCTTCGACTTCTTCTTGGACTTGTGTTTGTGCTTGTCCTTCTTTTGCTTCTTGCGCTTTTGCCGTTTCATCTCCGCCTCCAGCTCGTCTGTGTCAATGGAATCGCTGGACATGTAGATCTCTCGGCCCCACAACTCCCCTTTGGATGTGTTGGAGACCTGTGAGGGATCCTCCCGATGATTTGGTGACGTTTGTCTCGATCCGGCCGGAGCGGATTTGTTCGAATCTTCGGGTCGTCTTTTCCTAAAATAAAATAGTTAGGTTACTTGTTTTTTTAATTTCATTTGCTATGCTCATTACTTACCTGTAATTATCATAGCCCTCCTTATCGGGCTTTGGACCAAGACGACTTCTGGGGAATTGATTATCCGTAGCTGGCTTTGGTTTTTTTGTGTTTGTGGCCGCCCCCTTTCCGGAATCGTTTGCGTCCAAATCGCCGGTCTCCGGATCTGAAAAGTCCTCCGAGCTGACGTCCGAGTACTCCACAAGTGCGGTCGCTGCGGCGGAGGATGCATGCATCGTAGCGTCTTCGACGGATAGGATCGGAGCACTCGAAAGAGCCGCAGACACCCCTCTCAGCGCACTGCGGTTCGTACACGTATTCTTTTGTAATCGCAAGACTCAATATTCACTCGTTCTGCGGCAAAGTCCTGTACATCCAAGTCCGTTCAACTTTACTGTGTGATTTTCCACAGGAGCAGCAGTACCAATTTTATTTACATCGCCGACAAGCACATATTCGTGTGACGTTTTCTTTACATGATTATCGCGGCGATATGTGCCAATTTACGAAGCTGCACTCGCATAGACAACCACGGGGCTCGGCACTTTGCTGCACGTCTAGTTTAATAGTCGATTTAAGGTTCGGTTCCCACTAAAATTAACATTAACAAAATTTATAACTTGTCATTTTAAGGTTATAATGAAGTGGCAAGTGTGACCAAGAAACTTAGAAAAATTAATCCTTCAGTAGGGTGAAATGCAAGAGAATGCGTGTTCTCCTGCAACAGATATTATAGACCACAAACAACTCTGGTCAGTCTAAAGATTGTCGGAGATAATACGAAATTTATTTTATACAAAATAAAAGGATATATATATAAACACTAATGAAGTGGTTGAACTCTGACAGATGTCAACGCCAAACGAAATTAAATTTAGGAGAAAAAAATTGTTCAGTTCTCAAAACCCTTAAAACATCGTACAATTTAGAAAATTGACTATTAACAACTGAATGCCAAGGAACATCGTCATCTAGAATAAAAGATTTTGGAGACAAATACAAAAGGATCCCATGTCTTTTGATTGGGTTCCCTATTCATGTATTAGCGATGTATTTAAAAATTGTGTCATTTAATTTTATTAAAATTACGAACAGACAACTTGAAACTTAAGATTTCCGCACGCATTTTCCAGCACTGTTTTAACACTGTTGCTCGTCGGTGACGTATGTGCAAGTCCAAGGCTGTATGCGTGCGAATATGTATTAGGGACACGCACACAACCGCAAATCATGCAAATGTACGTTTGTATGTGGGTCATTTTTATTGTTCTACGGACTTACCAGTTTCTTTCAGTTTTTAATTTCACAAACGGCACTATTTCATAACGTTTGGTCACCGAGAAGAGGGCAATTCGCGATTCTTCGTTTCACAGTCGGCGAACGCACACGCTGCTGCGCTTAAATTATTAAATAACACGACTTTTGCCAGGCTAGCAGGTCTGTCTTGTTTACGCTTTCGGAACGAATTCTTTACGCGAAAATTGCATCTGGTTATTGCAGGCTTTGTGCAGATATAAGAAAGTTGGTTCAAATGCAAGTTGCATGTCTCATTAGGCATTGTTTCCGCAGGAAAACCATTAGAATAGTTTTGCCATGATTTTCTTGCAATGGCTGGCAATATTTTCGGCGATTAATCAGCCAGTGAGCAAGGGCCACTCTGGATTTAGTGCTGGAAAGCGTTGGCCACATATCGATATTTGATTTATTTTCGATATTTTAACAATGTAATAATAAAAATTAATTATTTAAACATAAACGACAAAATGTTTATATATTTATATAGTTAGAGCATTAGGAACTGTATTACTAGAACTACCGAATCCCACAGAAGTACACGTCAGTGTTGCTTAACAGTTCTCCTTGACTGTGTTTGAAAATTGCCCAACACTAACGGTGGCGTTCCCTTTGAAATTTTTTTCTGCTTGTTTGTTTACATGGCTTGGGTTTACAAAATACTTGATAAATAAAAACCTTTTATAGTAATAGTCAGCAGGTATCTAATAAGCAAAGCCAACCATGATCTCCAGTCGGGCGTTTGGAGAAACAATTGAGGTAGGTGTACAGATTCCTTCGGTCTCGGGAATTTTTCAAGCGTTCGCATTACTTGCAGGAGTATGAAGTACAGCACTTGTTGGGCAAAGGCGGTTTTGCCAGTGTCTATAAGGCGAGATGCCTCCGCACTCACCAGGATGTGGCTATTAAGATGGCAAGTTGCTCGAATGGTTCATGCTGGAACTGGTCATTAACCTGTCTTCCGACCCGCAGATTGACAAGAAACTTATTCAGGGCACTGGTCTCACCAACCGCGTTCGGCAGGAAGTGGAGATCCATTCCCGACTCAACCATCCCTCGGTTTTGCAGCTGTACACATTTTTCCAAGACGCCAACTATGTGTATTTGGTGCTGGAGTTGGCCCACAACGGGGAGCTGCATCGCTACATGAACCAGATATCGAGGCCTTTCACGGAGGCGGAAGCTGCGTCCATCCTGAAGCAGGTGGTGGCGGGTCTGCTGTACCTGCACTCTCACAACATCATGCACCGCGACATTTCTCTATCCAACCTTTTGCTCAGCAAGGAAATGCACGTGAAGATTGCCGATTTCGGTCTAGCTACCCAATTAAAGCGACCGGATGAGCGACATGTGACGATGTGTGGCACCCCCAACTATATATCGCCCGAGGTTGTGTCCCGAGTGTCCCATGGACTGCCGGCTGATGTCTGGAGTGTTGGGTGTATGCTGTACACCTTGTTGGTTGGAAGACCGCCCTTTGAAACCGATGCCGTGCAATCCACGCTCAACAAGGTGGTTATGTCGGAGTACCTGATGCCGGCTCATTTGTCTTTTGAGGCGCAGGACCTAATAAACAAGTTGCTGAAGAAGCTACCACATGAGCGCATCACCCTCGAGCAGGTCCTAAGCCACCCATTTATGCTGAAGAGAAGCGATTACAGTGCGAATCGCGGTTATACGACGACTCCGGGAGCATTAAATGTGTTTGGCCAAAGCCTGGAAAGTGGTGATAGTGGAATCCTAACATTTGCCAGCAGTGAGTATTCTTTGGGAAAATTATTTCCAGCATTGATTGCAATTCCACAATTTAGGTGACTCGAGAAACTCTCAACGCCTGCGCTCTGTGGATACCTCAGCGCCGCAGGCTCTTCCCCAAATACGGGAAGAATTCATGCAGGATCATCATCTTCGACCAACTTATGAACAGCCGGCAGGAATATTTCCCCAAAGTGCAGCTGGTCAGGCGGAGCAAAAGTGGTCGGGAAACGCTAATTCCACCCCAGCACTTCATGTGAAAATGGACCTTGTAGAGAAGCCCAGCCTAGCTCGAGTTAAGGAGGAGCGACTTTCGGTGCCACCATTGTGCACGATGAGATTGCTACCGACGCGTTACAAGACCAAGAATGCTATAATGAGTATATTGCGAAATGGCGAGGTGGTTCTTGAGTTTCTGAAATTTCGGCCCAAGTTCAACGAAGATCGCATCACTGACATTTGCCGCATCTCCCACGATGGGCGACGTATCATTATTTACCAACCAGATCCAGGACGGTAAGAAGAGTATTAATTGGTTGTACTAAAAACATTCTAATTGTCGAATCCTTTTTGTAGTGGCTTAGCCGTAAAAGAGCAGCCCCCAGAGCTTCAGATACCAAGTGAGGACTGCATCTACAACTACGAAAGCTTGCCCAGCAAGCACTGGAAGAAATATGTATACGCGGCGCGTTTTGTGGGCTTAGTAAAGAGCAAAACTCCGAAAGTAACATATTTTAGTGCACTGGGAAAATGTCAACTGATGGAGACGATGACTGACTTTGAGATTCGCTTTTACTTGGGAGCAAAGCTGCTGCGGTCTCCCACCGAAGGACTTAAGGTTTACAATGCCAATGGAATGTTATTATCAGATCAGACTTGCTTGGAAGCTCGATCCCTGATCGAGCACGGAAACGAATGCTTCTCGCATTGTGTCACCGTTAGTAATGCCTTGGAAGTGGCTCAGACAAAGGACTCTACGTGCTTTCCAGTCACAATTGGACGGCGTCCAGTCACAGATGTTCAGCCAGGTCAGAAATTTGACGGGCTAAGGGATACCACAAACTTTGCCTATTCGACCCCGAAATCAAATCAGGTAAGCAGGTATTTTTTTTTCTAAGCTTGTTATGGATCTGTAGTTGCACCGATTTTCATTATTGCAGGGTTCAATAAACTTCTCCGTTAGCACTCTTTCGTCGATTCGAAATACAACAGATTTTGGATGCAGTTCCTCGAGATTAAACATGCTAGCTTCTCATCAAAACGTCCCAATAAAACGCGTCAACATTCCTGATATTGGTGTCGCTACTGAGGTAGATATGGCTGTTCCCTTGCACTAAACTATTTCTATTGTAAACTATTCCGTTGCCATTTCAGTTATCCCACGGAGTTGTCCAAGTGCAATTTTATGATGGATCCGTAGTTTCTGTTATACCAGACAACCAAGGTGGCGGCGTGACGTATACACAACCGAATGGAAATTCAACCCATTTTGTGAAAGACGATGACTTGCCCTTCGCTGTCAGAGATAGAATTAGTCAGTTACCGCAGATTCAATTGAGGTTGAAGACGGCTCCCTTACTGGGGAGTGGAAGGAAGATTGAGTACAACAATGCAATGACTCCCAAAACGACAACGCCTTGCTACAATCGCATGCTCATATAACGGAAAATCAAATTAAATATGAAACATCATAGTTATTAAGTTTTAATTAATTTGGTCTACTAAACATTGGTCAACTGTAAAATAAATGAAAATATATTTTATTAACTTCCCTGTAATAACGTGTTTTTACCGCAATAATCATTTTAGCGAACACTAAAAGGAACTTTGAACTAGAACTGGGTATGGTGAGGTCTGCTCTTTTGTTTATAGCATTTTTGACTAGATAATATTTTCAAAAATCTCTTTAAAAAAACAACAATTAAAATACACCAGAAGCCGGAGGTTGTATACACTTGTATGTTGCCATTAGATTAGATTTGATTGAAATCCAATCTTTTTGTGTCGAATGAATCTAAAACCTTACAGTAGAAATATAAAACCTTTATCTATATAAAAAAAACACCGCACTTTTTTTAAATATTTATAGGTTCTTATATAAATTACCGATGGCACCTGTATGATATTGTCGTCCGATTCGTTTCGACTTATTAACTACATATGTACATGCAATAGGAAGAATACTTTTATTTATACTTAAACTATTAATTAGAAAGCTCTACAATTGAGACTTGTTAGCATAGAAATCGATGCTGATTAAAACTATATGTATATATTTTATGGGCTCAAGATGCTCTGTAAACTTCTGTTCAAAATTATAATAACTTACAAGAAAAATAAGAAAATTAATTACCACTGGAAAATAAAGATAATGGATATGACACTATTCTGACAAAATATTTAAAGTTATTAAGATGAGAAATGCTTTTAAAAATATGCAGAATATTTTGATTTCTTTTATATTAAATTTGTATATAAGAAAATTAAACTTAAATATTTAAAAAAAAATTTTTTATCATCAAATTTATAGATATTTACAATATACATACAACTATTGCAGTATTAAGGGGGGACATCTGAGTAACTTTTTTTAAACATCGAATAATTTTTTTTTTTGCTTAAAAAATACTTTAGGGTCGTAAAAATAACATATCAAAAGATAGAGTCCGGCAAAAGTTTCTAAGTGTCAAAATTTTCCATTCTGCGGCGATGCCTTACATGTAATCATATACGATTTGAAAACTTTAAACGCGTTTTTCTCAAAACCACTTTTTTTGAGTTGGCCGAAAACAAATTTTAACCAATCGATCTGAAATTTTGACAGTATATCCAAAATACCTATGGCTATCGACATTTCGTATCGTAGTATTTTTTTTTTTTGCTTACTTTTTTTTTTTATCAACAATTTTGTGACGTTTTTTTTCATGAAAATTGAACATTTTATTTAATCACTCACCATTTTGCTAAAAATCCAAATATCGAAAAAATCCTACGTGTGTCGATAGCGGTTGAGATACAGAAACTAACAAAATTAGATTTTTTGTTCTAGATCAAAAATTAAGGACGTTAGGTTTTCGGCCATGGACCCCTTTCAAAAAAATAGGGCCTACGAAGACATGCTGCACAGCCGCCATTTTGTTTTCGATTTATTAAAAAAAAAATTTATTTTGTAGTTCACATCTAACATTATCAAACCTACTTTACAATTTTTCGATTGGCTTTTTCATTTGGCCAAAAAAATTCTAGAAAATGGGCTTTTTTTTGCCAGTTACTCAGATGTCCCCCCTTAACTAATAAGATGTATTTATGTTCATGAACATTCTGCATTGAATGATACACAGAGAAAATATTAGCAAAAAGAACAATCCGTTTTTTTTTAAGAATCCTTTATTTCACATTTTAAGTTCTACATGTAAACAACACTCCATAATCCCTCATTTTTGTATACTTTTAGGGAAGGAAAAGTGTAGTATAAAATATATTAGTATTATAATTATTATGTATGTATGTGTATATACTAAATTACTAATAAAATAATGTATTATTAAAATACAAGGTAAATATATTTATACTTAGATTAGTCAATTAAAATCCATTCGATTCTGTTTAAACTCCGACTGCCGTACTTAAAGATTTACTACGGCAGGATTCGTATTGCTTTACAACTATAGATGCATGAGTGATGTTAATACATGTTAAGGTAATTTCTTGTACAGATATTGATGGTAGTCCGCGCACAGATGAATTACACTATGTGATAGGAAATAAGTTCCAATTAACTAACGTTTTTGTATTTAATGCATTCGGCAATTCAGAAGAATCAATTTGAGCATAAGCGTGTGCATTTATTATGTTTGAATGGATTTTTTTCGTCTGCAGGATGATAACAAACTAACAACATAATTTCATGATTGAACTATAATTAAGTGGGGTATACTAACTTAAGTTAATGGACGGAAATCGAAGATTGTACAGAGTGGAATTTCAGTGGGACCTTTCTTTTGATTGAACGGATTTGAATATAAATTAAATATAAGCAACTAACTCATTAAATGAACATAAAAAGCATTGAACACAACTTTATTCTTAAGACAAACTATAGATAGTTGGCTTTTGCTGAAATCTAGCTCAGTGTTCGTTGTATAAAGTGTCAATGTCTCAAATAGCGCTAGGCTTGTCCTTAAGCTCAAATTGAATCTTCTGAAATATATCCTAGAATCGATCCTTCGACGTGGCGCTGTACTCCAGCTCGTTGAGGTTTTGGATTTCCTGTAGCTCCTGAAACTTTTCGTGGTCCCGAATATGGGCATAATTGGCGGAGAGACACATCAAATAATGGACAAGACTAAGGATGACTAACAGAGTAGACAGGGTGGCCAATATGAACATGACTTCGGCGTTCTCGACGCCGTCCTTACAGAACGCCTTGATCTCGTACTTTTCGCAGACCTTCATATCCTCAAGTTTTGTGTTTGGCGGAAACATGAAATCTGTAAGGTCATCCAACAATATATATATAAATTTATTTATAAGTAAAACTTCCGCTCTTTTACTACTTACGGAATTGTGTCAAATCAATGCAACTTTGAGAGTGCTCCACACTCGAGCACATGTTCCAAAACATCGTGTAAATAAAGGTGACTACAACCAGAAAACAGAGGATTAAACTCCACACAAAGTTGAGAAGATATGTGATCCCCATAAGAACTGCGCAGGAGATTCGACCGCCCACTCGTGATCGCCACGCCCTGTAAACCTTGTATCTGGTGGATCCGGTGGCCAAGAAGCCAACGAATAATATCATAAATCCGAGGGCAGCCATCCCAGCACCAATTATGACAAATATCATTTGCACTGCCTCGATCCTGTTAGGAGTGGAAGAGGAAATTCAAATATATTCAACCTGTGCTAATAACTACTACTTGCCATATCAGCCGCAAATGAAAGACTTGATCAAACATTATGACGGTGAGTGAGGCTCCTCGGTACATGGTGAAGCAAAAGATGCCCACGCCTAGGAGGCACATGAGAGTGGCAATCAAAGTGGCGTAGGGTATACGCGCCATGCACGATTGACAGCATTCTCCTGGAAAGATAAACAGAGTTGTGAGGTAAATATATCCCAAGATCAATATATCAATACTAATGTGTAATATTTTGAAACAAAAATAATATTGTAATATACGACAAACAAATACTAACTTTTATTTGCATTTCGTTTTACTTATTATGTACAGAACAATTTGTTCAATATTTAGCACCAAAGGCTCCTTTCCTTTTGCGAAACTAGCAATGTTCTATATGTTGCATTGTCTTTTTGTGAAAGTAATTTAAAGTAATTTTGCTAAGAAAAGTCAGAAATATGATATGTAGATATTTTTATACCGCGGAAAGGTAATATAAATTCAGGCAGAAGTTTGCAACGCAGTCAAGGAAAAATTTCCCACCCTATAAAGTTTATATATTCTTGATCAGCGCCAACAGCTATGCAAACTAATCCCCCAGTACCGGGTCGTACTGGAGGGGCTATATCATAAACCTGCCATAGAAACTATCCGAAAATTTGTTTAAAAAAAATATAACTTTGCTGTTTTTCAACATATTTTCATCTTCTTTAAGATATGGTCTTCTGTATTATTTCAAAATTTCTGTTATAATTTTAAAAATTGGACGACTATCATATAACTGTCATAGGAACGATACCGAAATCAATCACCAAACACTGCAATACTCCTAACAAGATTTCAATAGCAGCAATAACGGAGAATTTGATTACTCGATTTTAAACTTGGAAATAGTGTTTTGTTGTTTTTTTACATTTACGCATTTTCAAATGTGTAAAAAAAAATGTTTGGAGATTGCTGAACATAAGTCCAGAGGGACTTAACATTAATTTCTCAATGGTACACAGCTTATAAAAAATTGATAACATTACGATAAAATGGAAAGCCCTTCTTAATTTGAAAATATTTAAAGGGAATTCGAAATCCCCAAAGATTTAATGCATCGAAGCATAATAACTAAAATTGTTGCTTTTGGGATAAACATTTTTTCCAACGGAGCCTAATAAATTTTGAATCCTTAGGGACTTGATTTACAGTTCTGGAAATTATTGAAGAACTCAATAAAAACAAGTAAGGAAGGATCGGGCCGGATCGGACATTTTCAACATATTTTTATCAACTTTGAGATATGAGCATTTTTTTTAGAATTGGGCTAAGATACAAAATAAATTCAGATATCATATAATTATTTGTATAATTTTTAAAATCAAAGCGAAAAACAATACCAATGAAACATTTCCTATTTTGTGTATGTTTTATGTATATTTATACCCTTGCAGGGTATTATAATTTCAGTCAGAAGTTTGCAACGCAGTGAAGGAGACGTTTCCGACCCTATAAAGCAGCGATGGGCACGAGATCTAACGGTTTGAGCAGCAGCTCGCTGAAAAAAAAAAAACAGCAACAACCCCCAGCGTTGCGAAGGGTCGCACCCACGCGACACACAGAATGTGCGAGCCAAAAAAAAAACACTGACAAAAACTTTTTGAGTAGATCAATATCTTCAGCCATTTTTGCGTGCATTTATGTCCGCCTAAGAAAAACGACTGCAAAAAAAATCCAATCTTTTTTCTTTAGTGCAGAAGTCAACGCTAGCCGCACAATTCCCTTTAAAATTGTTCTTGTTTTTGGGACGATGTGCGAGTTCGGGTCGCTTGTGTTTTGTTGTTGCAAACTCGGGATCGCGGCGATGGGCTCGCTACCTGCGCCAAAGGTCAGTGTGGTTGTTTTTGTAAATCTTCACGGTTCGCTGATCGCGAGCACTGCACTTGTGCGTCTGCAATTGTGCGACATGCTGGCGCCTCCGAAAAAAGATAACGGTTTGAGCAGCGTGAGCAAATTGAGCCACGGCGTGCCCATCGCTGCTATAAAGTATACATATTCTTGATCAGCATCAACAGCCGAGTCGATCTAGCCATGTCCGTCTGTCCGTCTGTCCGTCTGTCTGTCTGTCCGTCTGTCCGTCTGTCTGTCTGTCCGTCTGTCTGTCTGTCTGTTTCTACGCAAACTAGTCCCTCAGTTTTAAAGCTATCTGAATGAAACATTGCATATAGTCTTCTATATACTCTCACTGCTATATATGTCGGAACGGGCCGGATCGGACGACTATATCATATAGCTGCCATACAAATGTTCGATATATTTGTAGAAAAAAAATTATAACTTTGCTGTTTTTCAACATTTTTGCACAATTTTTTAGATATGGCCATTCTATATTATTATAGAATTTTGGTAAAAATTTTATGAAAATCGGACGACTATATGATATAGCTGCCATAGGAACGATCGAGAAATAAATAGGAAAAAAATTATAGCTTCGTTGTTTTCCAACGTATGTTTATCTACTCTGAGATATAAGCTTTTTTTATTATTCTAGAATTATGGTATAAATTTCATAAAAATCGGACAACTATATCATATAGCTGCCATAGAAGCGATCGGTAGATGTAGAGAAAATGTAAAGCTGGGAATGTAAAACTGTAACCGTCAAACTGTAAACATAATAAGTCTAGGTAAAATGTAATGAAACTCTGTTTTGTGTGTGTTTTAAGCATTTAAATTTATAATATAAATATCAAAACCAATCTGCAAGGGTATACAAACTTCGGTGTGCCGAAGTTAGCTTCCTTTCTTGTTTTGGTGATAGTTTTATTATATATTGGCAGTTCGAAGATAATAAAGTATAGCTGCTACAAAAATAAAATAAAATGTAAGCATTAGAAAAGAAGTGCAGGTGAGATATACATAGGTGAAGCACAGTTACATATGGGCATGATATATCACACAAATACATAATATACACCAGTTGCTTGTGCAAGCATTAAGGGGAAAATACAGTGATAAGATAACAGGTGAACCAGCGACTGACTGGTGGCGTCCAGTGATTCACATAAAGCGATTTAAGCGACAGAGTGTATACATACACACAACTCTTTCAGAGTGAAATGGTTTACTTTTTGGTGCCGCAGAAAATGTAAAAATCCCTGATTTCGGATCGTACCTTCGCCGCCGCGCTCTGTGTACCTGTCCAAGGAGTGATCCGATCGGTACGAATTTCTTCGCCTGTTCTGGATGGACGGATTGTATGGATTCCCATTGTAGGCGCGTGTCATGACTCCGCCATCGTCCTCGAAATTCGTCTCGAGTAGAATCTCCTCGCGTGGATCGCGGATGCGGTCGCGGTTGTTACTCTTGCCCGGCATATTGCACAGCGATGACTGAATCGCTTCGAGAGCTTTTCGAAATTGGGGGAAATGTTTTAGTTGTTTAATTTTTTAGAGGCCTATAAAGATGAATCACATGCTCACATATAATATGTTCACAACCGAGAGCTACCAATAAATATAATTAGTCTTTATAGTAAAACCAACGAACAACAAATGACGTTCCCGTAGAAAAGTCAGAGTTTAGAGAGCTATGAATGGGCTGTGCCTTCGAGCGGGGCGACTCTCAGAGCGTTAAAAAGATAACTGGCTTTGTTTAATTCTCACTTAAAGAGCGTCTCTCCGCTTACTGATTCTCTTTATACGAAATGTTTACAGTGAAAGAAATTATCAAGAAGAACTTGAACAAACCAGTTCGTTTTTTTTTTTACTAAAATCCCTTCACATACAATTTTCATTTCCATTAAAATAAAAATCATTTGATTTTTTTTTTTTTTAAATTTTAAAATTTTAAATTATAAATATATGATAATTTTAATTGAAACGATTACTTTTTAGTATATTGTTGTGCAATTTTTACCGGAGTACATAATTAAGTATGCAATTGTACTCTATTTTTATATCCCTATTTCTAAAAAATTAAAAGAATATTGGACTTTTTTTGTATATATTCCCTTTTAGTTGTTTCTAGTTGTTATAATTATGTATACAATACTTAAAATTAAAAAGCTTACGATTGGGCCAAATTTGTAGACTAATTTTAAACTCACACAGTTAATCCCTCCTTTTTAACTTAACCTTAACATTTCTTTTTAATTTTTTGGAAATTTATTTAGTTTAGTGTATGAAAGGCGTGTTGCTTCAATTAAATGAGACAATTAGTACTTTCTCGGAGAAGTTCAGTGCTGCTGCAGACAGGTCAAAGGGTCACCCAATAAAAGACAAAAAGAAAAAAAACTTAAATGTCATATGTACATATGTAATTTCCAAGACTGAGGAGTTATAAAATTTAAGACAATAAATTTTACTTTTCGATATCTTTCGATAACGACAATTAATAGTAAATACATATGTTTTTTTTTTTTGTTATAACTTTAGTGTCATTTATAATATTAAATATTCTTCTATTCTATGAAAATCACTATTCCTATGCTCACAGTAAAATCTTTTTCACGTTTATGTAAAATTAAATTTATTTTATTTTGAATTTTAAGAAAGTCTGCTCCAATGCTCATTTAAAACTGACGGTGAACGACCCTAGAAAAGCAAATTAGACATCCAGATGACGTCCTGCCAGCAACGAGCGACTGAAGAGCTATTTAGATGCATCCGCCTTTGAGGGATTCTCACCGGAACTCCCGCGGTGTCTGTGGGAGACGAAACGAAAATTGCCACCGAGACTCTGGCACCATTGCCTGGCCCGAGATGCCAATGACACCAAGACACAAGCGCAGGCTTGGAATAAGTGCAAAACATTAAGGGGGTCTTCTCATTCAAAAGCCGTTTTTTGGACCCTTTTAAAAAAAATTCTTATTTGAAAACGCAAAGAATAATTGACAACTTTTTTTATTTATTGTATTCAAAAATGTTCAAAGTAACTAAAAAAGTTGTTCTTGCCTCGATACGAGGGTTGTTCAAAGAGTAATGAGACTTCAAACTTGGTGGTCGAAAAAAAGGTGTCGTCCTGGCGGCCACGATTCAGGGTCTCCAGAGCGTCCGAAATGAAAAATAAAAACGGGGTTATAATCAGAATTGATGTCATTTTCGGGTGACGGAACAGATTTTTTTTTAAATTTTTTTAAACAAAATGGCGGCCATTCAAAAAAAAAATTTCGATTTCGGGCTTTTTTTTTGTAGTTTAGTGTAAAAAAAAAAAGAAAAAAAATTAAAAAAAAATCTGTTCCGTCACCCGAGAATGGTGACAATTCTGCGTCGACTCCACTTTGTTTCATGAAAATCGGTTCAGTTGAACTGGAGATATCATGGCCGCCAGTTCGAAAAACGTGGTTTCGAGATAAACGCGTTTGAAGTTTGAAAAAAGCTCATTTTGCGAAGAACTTGCTTCACAAAAAAGGCTGTATCTTCTAAAGTATTTCGAATTTCTAAAAATCCTTTTGGGGACATATACACACCATCCCAAGCTATAAATAAATGCAAAAAAAAAAAAATCGAAAAAAAAAAGTTGCCCAATGAGAAGACCCCCTTAATTCCGGTAGCGTGCAATGACTCTTAGAGACCGAAAATAATAGTTAGAGCGTAAATAAAATAAGCCAGGGAGATTTTCTTTAAAGACCGACACATAAATACTCTTGTGGTCGGTTCCTAAATGTAGAGCTTGTCAGGGTTGCCATAGAACTTGTTACTAAATAGAACTTGCCAAAAGTTGAATTTTATAAACATCTCTGATTGCCAATTGATTTTAAGTCATCGCACACTCGTATACCCTGTTACCAAAGCTGACCAAAGTTAAATTAATAATATTTTTTAGGGGGACGACCAGTTCACGCGCATCTGTCGCAGAAATTTCAAACAGATTTTGCTCCTAATAAGTTAAAAAAAAAAACCTTTGTGCTAAGTTAAAATAAACAAGTTTGTTTTGAATTACCCAAGATCGAAATCATGGCTCGGAGAATTGACTAACTATGTATGTGGCGATGGAATCCCTTAATTATTTAATATCTCCCTCCCATGTTCATTCAATTTAACCAAAAGAGTTTGTAAAGAGATATGTGTTTATTATCTATATTTATAAAGAACTCTCCTATAGCTGTGCTATAATGGTGTTTTAAGATATTTGATGTCAGTTTTAGCTCTAGGTAGGCATTGCCATTAAACCGTTGTTCCTGACGGGTACCAAGGTATAAAATCGTTTGAGTTTTGAACGATATCAGCTTAAGAATTCGTCAGTCATCTCTTCATAAACCAGACTCTCAGTTTTAGAGCTTCACTGATTGCAGGTTGGATTTGTAAGTAAAACGAAAATCATGGTATGGTTTATACGTCAAAAGGTTTTTTAGTTCATTTTGAATCATCTCTGGTATTCTAGCAATATCCTTATTGCATTTGTGGGTATTTGACAATCTTATAAGTAAATTTTTTTTTTAAGTTTTAAATTAAATTGCAGGAATTTCAATACTTTTAAGTATCATAAAATCGAAAACAAAACAAAAACACAATATTGGCATGTTTATTGTAAATTATAAATTGTAATAATTTATGTTTATTTAGGTCAATCAGAACTGTGCATACAAATGCAGATTTACATACGTATGCATTATATCACGCCAATTCACAAACTTGAAAGTTAACTTACCCATTTTGATGGCAGTTACTTGTTTTTAGCCTCCAGTTAAAATTTAATCATTTATATTTCACGATGGAATGCTTCTTTTATGCAGCGCAATTCCTAAGTAGAGTTGAAATTTCTGAAGACTTTTACAGATGCATGTACATATATTTATGTATTTATATACATATATACAGTCGCTCCACTTGGTAAACTCAAAACCAGTTTTAGGGTGTGCACTCCTCAACTTTAACTTCTTGCGCTGCACCAGAACTTTATATTAAACTTCGAATTTCGCGAAATACCACACGAAGCTATTATAGTCACGTTTAAATGTTATTGTTTACGTTGCATTCCCTTAGTATCCTAGGACTTTAATATTAAGTCGTCCAACAACCAACAACAAAATGTATCTACAAGATTCCAACTTGGAGCTGGTGTCAATCGAGTAAGTACTCGATTTTTTTATAATACTCGATTTTTATATAAATGGCATTAATCGAAAAATAAACAACCTGTTTCCGCTGGAGCGACTACAGTCGTGTCACGAATCCAGAATGGAGGAAAAAATCAGAAACGAAGAGTAGGGTCTTCCATTAAAAAAGCGAGAGGACTATAGTCAGCATTGTTTTAAAGGAACAGCGGTTTTAAGCTGATGATGTTTTTAGTCATTCAATTGAAAGGGAATATGGGCATTTCCATAATGTCGCACGCGACATTCGTACGCATTCAAAGCAAAAAAAAAGTATGGTACATTTCATTTCTATTTTTTTTATAAATGTTAACTTATAGCTCTTGCCTAGGACTTTAATTGGTGCAAATGTTGATTTTGAGTGTTTGCTCAAATTGAAGAAAATTTAAAAAAACTGAAGGATTCGCACGCGACAAAAACAGAAGTCACTTTTGCGGCGAGCTGTTTAAACACTGATTTCAGCGAAACGGCAGGGATTATTTTAATGAAACAAATTTTAAAATGTGATGCAGTAATGCCAGTTTCATATGCTTTAATTTACAATCAGAAATATAGCGTAGTTTATTTTTTATTTAATTTTAATCAGATTCGCACGCGACATGTCGCACGCGACAGTTTTTAGCATCATACTTTGCAGGTAATTTTTACTATTATAAGTAAATTGGAAGAGCATATGTATATCCATTTTATTTCGACTTTTTGCATTCTTCTTGTGATGTTAGTAAACAACAGTCAACAGTTAGTGTCTCGGTTTGGAAATGAAATGAAAACAGGCCCATTTTTATGATGTTTTTCATCAAAATAATGAAAAATCGTGTTTGCGCGAATATGCATTCGAATATTTCGAAATTTGTTTTAGAATATGATAAAGCCCTTCAAATGTAATCAATTGGCCTTTTCCTAATGTTACTATGTTGGAAAATAAACATTTTAGAGAAGTTTTAGTGTTTTGGCCGCGGTGGACCTTTCTGTGGAAATGCCCATATCCTTATTATAAAATTATATAAATTTACACTTTAATAAAGAAGGCTGAGTTCAGAACAGCAAATAAAGTTCTGGTAATACATTTTTACGGCGTTTTTGTTTCAACTGCGTTTTTTTTATTGTTCAAAATCAGATGTGTTAGTTGGGCAGCAAAAGACAATAATCGTTGAATTTCTATTAGGCCCAACTTTGGGTCATCACTAGAGGCCTATATATATTACACTGGTAAAAATTAAAATACGCAAAATCCAAAAGACGGACGGACAGACGGACATGGCTAGATCGACTCGGCTGTTGATGCTGATCAAGAATATATATACTTTATAGGGTCGGAAAGGTCTCCTTCACTGCGTTGCAAACTTCTTACTGAAATTATAATACCCTGCAAGGGTATAATAAAATTCTCATTGCGAGACCACTTTGAGTTTCGCGCTCTAATGATCTGGCTAATATTACAATTACCATTTTCTTAATTAAAACCGTATTTTTTTTATCGAGTATCTAGTATATTTTATGTAGCTCTATCAATTTTCGCGGCAATGAAGTAGCTCAGCGATGGGCACGCAGTGGCTCAATTTGCTCACGCTGCTCAAACCGTTATCTTTTTTCGGAGGCGCCAGCATGTCGCACAATTGCAGACGCACAAGTGCAGTGCTCGCGACCAGCGAACCGTGAAGATTTACAAAAACAACCACACTGACCTTTGGCGCAGGTAGCGAGCCCATCGCCGCGATCCCGAGTTTGCAACAACAAAACACAAGCGACCCGAACTCGCACATCGTCCCAAAAACAAGAACAATTTTAAAGGGACCTGCGCGGCTGGCGTTGACTTCTGCACTAAAGAAAAAAGATTGGATTTTTTTTGCAGTCGTTTTTCTTAGGCGGACATAAATGCACGCAAAAATGGCTGAAGATATTGATCTACTCAAAAAGATTTTGTCAGTGTATTTTCTCGGCTCGCACATTCTGTGTGTCGCGTGGGTGCGACGCTTCGCGACGCTGGGGGTTGTTCTTGTTTTTTTTTTTTCAGCGAGCTGCTGCTCAAACCGTTAGATCTCGTGCCCATCGCTGTTCTAATGTATTAGAGTGCCATATAGTCGTCTTGCTCGCACTTGTGTAAAACGCTATAGCGCTGTCAAATATTTAATGAAGTCTCTAATTAATGCGCTAATGAAAGCAATTGTTATACTTTTCTATACTCTATAGTCTTTCCATTACAAAAACAATAAATATACATTTTAAAAAATGATATCTCGGAGTAGATAGAAATGTGTTGAAAAAAAAACATGGCTACCACGCCTGAATTACTGAAACTATCGGCAACTGAAAACAGCTGTTCCCATTTGAACTGCTTTTACGATATTTTCAGTCATTTAGTGACTCCGAAGTCGCTGAAAATATCGACTGTATGGCTGAAAAGCCAGTGGGCTAAAGAGTTCGTTTAAATTAAAGATGTTTATGACAAAATTAAAAGACCATTAGTTTAAAATAATTAAAGATTATATAAAAGAATTCAAAAGGTAATTTCCGTGTCATGCAACTAAGATTTTATATAAAAATTAAGGGGCAGAATTTTTGGGCTTAACGGCTGAAAATATCGGCGATACATAGCCTATATTTTCAGTAATTCGGTCATTTAGTCGTAAAGAGAATATCCTGTATATTGGAAAACAACATCGATGTTGTTATCGATAGTCGCGGGATCATCGATTTTTCCTCACCTCTAATCCACAGGATGAAAAATTGTGATCATATGTTTTACCCACTCTGAGTTCTGCGGGATTTTAAAACTGTGCCCAAGTATATCCAAGTACAATACTAATCAAGTAAAAAAAGCGTCAGTAGTTAAAGTCATGGAAGTGTAAGTCAATCTAAATACTGAAGGTCTTAAATTTGTCAAAACACACTTTCTGCATTCAATTTAAGTCAAATCTGTCGCGCTTGCCTGGGAACGTCACCTGTAATGATCAACATATTCGACAACGCTCCAGGACTAGGGATCTCCATCGCCGATATGATTACTCAATGCACTCCCTACGAGATTTCTAAAGGAGATTGCTATCCCGAAAACATCTGCGACTCTTGCCTGCACTGTGCTCGAGCCGCCTTCGAGATACGCCAAACAATAGAGACGAGCCACCAGATCTACCTCCAGATGAAAAATGCTAAAAATCTACCAGTCAACGTAAATCACGGTGTTGGCTTCAGCGAGACAAAGAAAAAGCATAAATGCCTTAAGTCATCTTCCCATAAAAGTATTCTTAATGCACACGCTGGAGAGAAACCGTATAAGTGTTCTCACTGTTCAAAGTCGTTTTCCCATAAAAGCTATTTTAATGTACATATGCGAATTCACACTGCAGAGCGACTGTACAAGTGTTCCCACTGCTCAAAGTCGTTTCCCAGGCAATCTCATCTGCAGAGACACATCCGAACCCACACGGGTGAAAGGCCGCATAAGTGTACCCACTGCTCAAAGTCGTTTTCCGCGCGAATTCATCTGCAAATACACATCCGAACTCACACCGGAGAGCGACCATACAAGTGTTCTCACTGCTCAAAGTTGTTTCCTAGGAAATCTCATCTGCAGACACACATCCGAACCCACACGGGTGAGAGGCCGCATAAGTGTTCCCACTGCTCAAAGTCGTTTTCCGCGCGAATTAATCTGCAAATACACATCAGAACTCACACCGGAGAGCGACCATACAAGTGTTCCCATTGCTCAAAGTCATTTGCCTCGAAAAGTAGTTTGACTGCACATAACCGATATCACACTGGAGAGCGACCATTCAAGTGTTCCCACTGCTCAAAGTCGTTTCCCGATAAAAAAATTCTTAACGCACACATCCGAACTCACACCGGAGAGCGACCATACCAGTGTTCCCACTGCTCAAAGTCATTTTCCAAGAGATATACTCTTAATGGACATATCCGTAGTCACACTGGAGAGCGACCATACAAGTGTTCCACCTGCTCAACGTCGTTTTCCTATAAAGGGCAGTTGAATGCACACATCCTAACTCACGCTGGAGAGCAACCATACAAATGTTCCCACTGCTCAAAGTCATGTTCCACGAGGTATAATCTTAAAATACACATCCGAACTCACACCGGAGAGCGACCACACAAGTGTTCCCACTGCTCAAAGTCGTTTGTACAGAGTAGTCATCTCAATAACCACACCAGATATTGTATTGGAGAGAGACCATTCAAGTGTTCCCACTGCTCAAAGTCATTTTCCCAAAATGGTCATCTTAAAATACACATCCGAACTCACACTAGAGAGCGACCATACAAGTGTTCCCACTGCTCAAAGTCGTTTTCCTATAAAGGGCAGTTGAATGCACACATCCTAGCTCACGCTGGAGAGCAACCATACAAATGTTCCCACTGCTCAAAGTCATTTTCCACGAGGTATAATCTTAAAATACACATCCGAACTCACACCGGAGAGCGACCACACAAGTGTTCCCACTGCTCAAAGTCGTTTGTACAGAGTGGTCATCTCAATAACCACACCAGATATTGTATTGGAGAGAGACCATACCAGTGTTCCCACTGCACAAAGTCATTTTCCAAGAGATATACTCTTAATGTACATATCCGTAGTCACACTGGAGAGCGACCATACAAGTGTTCCACCTGCTCAACGTCGTTTTCCTATAAAGGGCAGTTGAATGCACACATCCTAACTCACGCTGGAGAGCAACCATACAAATGTTCCCACTGCTCAAAGTCATGTTCCACGAGGTATAATCTTAAAATACACATCCGAACTCACACCGGAGAGCGACCACACAAGTGTTCCCACTGCTCAAAGTCGTTTGTACAGAGTAGTCATCTCAATAACCACACCAGATATTGTATTGGAGAGAGACCATTCAAGTGTTCCCACTGCTCAAAGTCATATTCCCATAAAAGTACTCTTAATGTTCATATCCGAACTCACATTCAATAGTATGATTTTTTTTTTCTCTGAAAAGGACCAATCAACGAACCCCAAGCCACACGGAATACGCAAATTATTCAAATTCTAGTTCTAATTTTATTTTATTCTTTTTTTTTTATTTTATAAATAACTGGATTGTTAACTAACATTAATGATACCTGCGCATTAGCTTGCACAAATAAATAAATTTACTTGAATTAAAATACTTTGGTATGCTTTGCTTGCCCCATTGAGCCCCTTCAAGCTCGAGAAACACTCTCCCAGCTATAACATTTTTTGATATGCAGAGATATTTACAAATTCACAGATTCACTGACGCAAATAATAGTCAAACAATAAATATTTGCGTCAGTATTGTTTTTGTTTTTTTTTTGGAAAAGTTAACAACTTTCGTTTCGAAAAAACGCTGAAACTGGGAAAACACAAAGGCTGAATACTGGTTATTATGCATGAATTTTCTTGCGTAATACATATTATTATGATACTAGCGCATTAATTATGGGAATTATTTAAATGTTATAGCCGTATAAACAGGGTACTTCCTTGACAACTGAATGACTAAATTACTAAAAATATCGGTAAAGTATTGCGATATTTCAGTAGCACAGGGTGTCTTCTTCAAATATAGGCGGTTATCAACAAAGTAAGACCGCATCATCTGTCCTCCAGAAATGCTGAAGAACCAGTGAAAACAGCGGTCACACTTGAAAAGAATAAATATTTTTCCGCTGCAAAACAGTTTTTACCCTGGAAGCTTAAATACAATTCAATAGACTTACACCATCTGCATTTTAAATGCAGTAAAAGTTACCAAGACTGTGCCGAAGCCGGTATTGATACTTGCAGCTTTTCAATTTTAGGAGTGTGCTGAGCGATGGCCAGAACGTGAGAGCGGATTGGAAACCGGCGTATTTATTGTACTTGTTGTTGTGGCACTGCACTCCAGAACTTGACGAAACGTATTTGCTGATGTATTTCGGCAAAAAGCAGAGCATTGAGTCGACGTATTAGCTTACGCAAGCAACTGGCTGTCCGGGGTTCCCGAACAGATCGCTCGTGAAATAATAGTATCAGCATGCTTCATCTACTGCTCGTTGTTCTGGCGGCCACGGCGGCCTCTGCCGAGAATTCGATTCAACGCATACGACGGGCCGCCATTGCCGGGGAAAAAGATCCGGCTCAAGCCATGCACAAAATCATTGATCTGGCCGACTGCCAGGACCTAAAGAAGCTCTGCGCGCACCAGAAATCCACAGATAATCTGTCCATGCTGGAGTGCGCGCTTACCTTCAGCTCCAGTCAGCTGGAGGAGCTTCCCGAGGGCTGCCAGCACGAGCTGTGGCTGCAGCAGCGCCAGTTGCAGCTACCCACCTGGATAGAAAACACTTTCCTTCCCACGTACTGCGCGGCGGAGAAGTCCAAGCTGGAGAGCTGTTTGAACTCCGTGCACCTGTGGATATGCTTGGAGCACCAGCGGCTGAAGTTGCCCCAAAACAACGCCTGTCACCAGCACCTGCGGAGGGGTTACGAGGCTTTGAGCCATGACTACAGTGCCGTGGATGATTTCTATACCGCCTGCGGCTTGATCGTGGAGGAGCACAAGTGCGGTCGTCTGAACATCGACCACCTACCATCGATGCTGGCGCAGCTGGGGACGGTGCAATGCCTCCAGTCAAGCGCCAAGTCAAGCCTTGACCCAGCCTGCACAAGCGCCATTAGCTCTATCGAGCTGCAGCGAGGCATGTTGGAACTCTTCCGGGTCTGCCAGAACGATCTCTCGTCCCTGTGCCCACAGGTAAGAGGATAAAGTAGGCACGATTAGTCATTAAATTCCTTGAATGTAAATCTTTGCAAATTTTCCAGGAGAAGGTCGGCTCTGCTGGTGCTTTTAAATGCTTGGTCCGGCACAAGACCCATTCCGCAATGTCGCCGCTGTGTGCGTCTCAGATAACGCAGCGGGATGAAGAGATGGGTCGCGACTACCGGGTTTCGCATGGATTGGCCAAGGCCTGCAAGGACGACATCAAGCTGTACCACTGCCGACGTGGCGTCTCCGAGGACAAGCACGTGCGATTGGCCCAGATCCTGCTTTGTTTGGAGTCGGTTTCCAAGAATGGAACCAGGCTGGCGCCCGCCTGTCTCAGCGAGTTAGGTGATCACCGTCGCATGCTGATGACGGACTACCAGCTTTCGCCAGAGCTTCTGAACGATTGCGCCGACGACATACCCAAGTTCTGTCCGGATGAGCACAAGGCGCAACTGGTGAATGGAATGTCCAGTACCGGCGGCGAAATAATCCACTGCCTTCTGGAACACGTCAAAGCCAGGCGGCAGCAACGGCGGGTGACTGCCCAGTGCCAGCGCGGATTGGAGACGTTAATCAAGGTGAGCGATGCCGGCGAGGACTGGCGCGTGGATCCAGTGCTGCGACGAGCCTGCAAACCAGTTGTGGACGTGGCCTGCAAAGATGTGGAGGGCGGTGAAGCGCGCGTCATGAGCTGCCTTGTTGAGCGCATCGGCACCCCAGTTATGCGCCCGGACTGCGAGCAGGCACTACTCATTATCGAGTACTTCGTGGCCAGAGATTTCAAACTGGATCCTCAGCTCTACAAGCACTGTCGCGATGACGCAGTGAAATACTGCCGAGCAAAAAGGCAGTGGGACGATGCTCAGAACATACAAATGGATCCGGAGAGAGGACCTATGATCCTTCCCTGCCTGCACCGCATGGCTTTCAGCGAGGACGAACACCAGACATTACGAAAGGATTGTTTCAAGGAGGTCAAGCGGGTGATGCGTCAGAGGGCCGTATCCATGGACCTAATACCCGAAGTCGAAGATTATTGCCTAAACGATCTTTCGCTGTTCTGCGCGGACTGCACGGAAAAGGGCAGCGAAATGGAGTGCCTGCAAAAGAACATGGACCAGCTGCAGGCGGAGTGCAAGACTGTTGTTGTCAAGTACACGGAGGAGGAGGCGGCCCACGTCGAACTAAACCCCGTCATAATGAATGTCTGTGGCGAGGCCATGCAGCAGCACTGCTCGGATATCCTCAAGAGTGGAAAGGACAATGGTAAGGACTACAAAACGTATTTTAAATAGAGGAAATACAAATTCACTTTAATCTTTACCAGGCGACATGATGGACTGCCTGATAGCGCACAAAAACGACGCCGATCTGCGCAAGGATCTCCGTTGCCGTGCTGCCATCGAACACTTTCAGATCATCTCGCTAAAGAACTTCCATTTCACCACCAAGTTCAAGGAAGCGTGTCGACCCTTTGTGCAGCGTTTTTGTTCCTCCAGCGCCACCAAGAACGAAGTGGTGGCCTGCCTCAGCGAGGTAATGAGAAACGATACAATCAAGGCGCAGCGTCATCAAATACCCAAGGAGTGCCGCCACCAGGTGAAGGCGCAGCTGTACCAGCAGCGCGAGAGCATTCAGCTGGATCCAAAGCTGGCCAATGCCTGCAAGCGGGAACTGGAACAGTTCTGTGAGGACCAAAAGGGGCCCGGTCAGGTGAATGAAAAAGCAAGTTGTCATCCTCATCCCTAACATCAATTTGTTGCACTAACACAAGGACACGGCCTTAGACGTCTTCATAGAAGCATGCTAAAGAAAACACTCTCTGACTGCCATGTTTAACACACAAACACTTTAACATTAACTTTCCCACATACAATCATCCATCTGCTTTGCAAATCTAAGACAATACGTCAAACCCCACAATTCACGTTTATGATATAATGCTTTTCTTTATGCCAAAGCCGAATTCACCCATAAAATATAAATTACCCCCACAGACTCTTAAATAACAATACGGCATACGATTTTTTTCACTTGAATTTTTAGCAGCGATCGTAATTGAATTCTTTTTAGGAAAAATTTTAAAATAAGAGTTATTTTCTTGTTATATAAAATAAAAAAAAAATTATTCTTTTTAATCACTTTTAAAAAACAACTTAAAAAATAATTCTTAATGTTTTGTTTTTATATAAAAGTTGTGTAACAACTCCTATTTTAATTTTTAAATTATTAATTGAAAATAAAAAATTTTTTTAAGTTTTATTTTATAAAAATGGAAATTAAAAAAAAATTAATTGTCAATTTTTATTTTAAAATGTAAAAATAATAGGTAAAATTTTTAAACTATAAAAAATTAAAATAAGTAATTAATCGTTCTTTTTATGTATGTATATAGCATATATATAAATATGTGCATGTACTTAAATACGTAACACAAGCGAATAAATATTAACTATATTAATTTTTTAAAATTTAAAATTAGAGGTAAAAAAATTAATAATTAGCAACTTTTTATAAAAATGTATCTTGTTTCTGAAGTCCTTCAATACATTTTTCATCGTCCCACCTTAATTTTGTGCTATTAATTTTTATTTCACTCATAACTCATTAGCAATCACAGATTTTTTGTGCTGGCTCTAGAGTCTAGACATGACATTAAACGCATATAGCAGCAGGCCACAATGTATAATTGTTAAATTAGTTTGACACCATAAGCTTTAAATAAATAAATAATTAAATCTTTTTCGTTGCAGGCCCTAGAGTGCCTAGTGAGGAAGACCACCAGTTTGGGCAAGCCTTGCCACCATGCCATTTTCTTAGTGAAGAAATCAGAGTTGGGCGATAGCGGTACCGACTACACGCTCCTTAACACGTGCAAGGATATGATCTACAAATTCTGCCCCAAAATTGATTCGATTAAACTACTCGACTGCCTCAAGACCTACAAAGACGACACGCAGTTCGACCAGCGGTGTCACCTGGTTGTAGTCAACCGCATGATCGAGCAAAATACGGATTTCCGGTTCAATCCCTCGCTGCAGAGCGCTTGTGGCAAGAACATTGATCGGTATTGCTCAAACATTGTAGCCAGCGCTTTGCCCAACGAAGAGCTCAATGGAAAGGTAAGTTTAAATAAATTCGAAATCATATAAATTATTTAATATAAGATACGGTTCAAGATATTCAATTTTAAAATCGAATGCATTTATTTACAACTTATGAACAGGGGCATAATGAAACTTGAAAACCATTTATTGTATTAACTAAGTATTAATATTTATTTTAATTTAAAGCAAACCCTTTTTTTTGTACCTTAAGGGGGAGGGGGAGGTTAATTTGGAGCCAAATAGCCCACTTAAAAAAAAAGTTGCGTCGGAATTTCTAAAGTTAGCTTATTGAATTAAATACCATATAATAACACATTTGAACATTTTTTTTCAATTTGTGTATTAAAAAATATTTACAAGTTTACGAGTAATAGGGAATCTTCTGAGTCACCTCAAAAAAAGTTGGTTTTCGGTGTATATCCTAAAAACATCCGATACCAAAAACTAGTATGCATTTGTTAAAGAATAAGTGTCCCAAGGAACTTTTAAAAAATTGTCCCCCAATTTTTTATCAAAATTAAAAATCATTACCCCGATTTTTGAGTAAAATATTTAAGTTAATTTGTTAAATAAAAAAAATGATAAAATTGAAAATTAAAAAACAGCTCAATGTGAGTACCTGAAGAATTAGTTAAATAAGTTATGTTTCAAATTTAAAATCGATTGGTCCAGTAGATTTTGAGTTATCGTGTAGACCGATATTCAAAATGTCATTTTTTCAGCTTTAAACTTTTTGATTCTCATACATTTCATCAACTTTGCATAACTTCGTCCATTTTGCTATGATCGATGTAAAACTTGGTCACAATATTCTCAAGATATTAAACCTATAAAATAAAAAAAATATTTACGAAAAAAAAATTAAATACCTAACCCTCCCTTAAATCATAAACACTTGGAGTGGCCTGGGCCATTAAAACTCCACATCTTCTCGCTGTAGTCTGTCATTGTCAGGATCATCAATCGCAGCCGTCAGAGATTCCAGCAAATCGTCGCTTTTTGTTATATTTAAATTAAGTTTATTATACGGACCACTTGGACTAGTCAAGGGACTAAGTCCCTTGGGCACGCCATCGATGGCAAACGATGTCCATAACTCCACCATTTTCTGGGACATCAGTGTGTCTGGGCCTTTTAGGGGATGTGTGGCGAACAGATAGATGTTGTCATTGGAATGGTGAACTCCTCCATTAAATGGATAGTGGGAGTTGTCGAACTCGTACCCAAACCGAGTGAATTCCCCTTCATACTCGAAACTATACACGTAGACCGGAGTGCTAGGCTGTTTGGAAAGGATTTTGCGGGCCAGAGTTATCACTGGGGACTTCATGTAGATTGTCGACGTGAGCTGTATGAAATTATGTTTTATATTCCGTTAGGAATAAGTATTATAGTAATAGGTATTTAAGCAATATTGAATATTTTTCTTCAACTTACATCAAAGTACGCTGGTACAGCAAGTTTGTGGTCATTACTGTTGAGAACTGCTGGCTTGAAGAGCATTTTATTTAGTAAATTATCTGTGAGTCCGGTCTTGTCGTCGATTAACAAGTTATTGATGCCCTGCGAAAACTGACGCACGCTCAACGAACTCACATTCGATATCTTTGCGGCCAGAGCATCATAATAGCCTATAAAAATATTGAAATGAAAATTATACAATTTACTTTTCTTTTATTTAAATAATGTAGAATAAGCCCCTTAATTGCAGATTTAACTCTAAAGATTTCTGATATAAAAATATGTCCCAATAGTTAGTTTGCATCCATTTGATTGATACATATATGGGCGAGTCTCTCGTTGTTCAGATAACTTAAAATAAAATTTCGTTAAAGTTACAATTGGCGAAATATTTTAAAATAATGTGTTAGTCGTACGCTTCATAAAACTATTTAAACTATTCATTTAATTTTCAAATATCAATAAAAATTGTATTTAAAATTCGACTTACTTGCCAGTACGAAAGATCCATCATGTTCCGTAAACCCTGTTAATAGGGGAATTTTTCTCTTATAATTCGTTACCAATTCACTGGGATGTTGTGGCAGGATTCCTTGCAAATCGCCCATAACTGGCGAGAAAGTCTCTGTTGTCGTGGCTTTCAAAATATCTATAACTTTGGCGTTTCGTAAACACTTGAAGATCTGGTCATTTTGGTCGCAGCTCAGACAACCCAGCTGGCCACAGATTCGTCGAGCCTGCCCCAGTGGGTCCTTGTTGATGGCCCAATGAGCTAAAATTGAACCAGATTGCACAATTGCTTGCTGGAACAGATTCTCTCCAGTTTTTGGACTCAGCAGCAAAGAGCTGGCCACTCCGGCTCCGGCGCTCTGTCCAAAAATGGTTACCTTCTTTGGGTTGCCACCAAATCGACTTATATGCAGTTGCACCCACTCAAGTCCCATTAAAATATCCGCAATGGGGGCATTTCCGGGAAACTCTTTTGTGTAGGTTGACAGCCAGCCCAAGGCTCCCACCCGGTAATGAGGTACAACTAGAACTATATCCTTCTCCAACATATAGTCGGGTGGGTGATCCTCGGCAGAGCCATTGTAGTAGCCTCCGCCATAGATGTAAAACATCACCGGATGGCTGGCAGTAAGCTGTAATGGCAGTGCACATATTTGATTTGCTGGTAAACTAATAACTTAACAACATTCAGCGCGGTTACTAGGAACGTGTTTTACTGCAAGTTTATGGCGAATTATCTTTGGAGCTAAAAGAATTTCCTAACTGCACAGTCATCCTGATATACTCACATTTTTTGTATAGACTGACAGGTTAAGGCAATCTTCTAGTTCAGCATCAGACAACTGGCCATCCAGATTGGTTATCACGGGGCAACGTTGTCCAAAGTTCAATGCGCTGATGGTGTTTGTCCAAGGGGATCGCGCCACAGGTGGCTATCATCGCCCAGAATAGAGAATAGAATGCTTTTTTAACCCGTCATAGGCCCACTTATCAGCTAAGACGACGTAGTTCACAAGAGTCATTAAGGCTTACAAATATAGCAATAAAATTTAATTCCCCAGATTACTTTATATAATTCGTAATCGATTGATACACTTTTAATTTTAGCTAAATATGCCAGTTTGAAATGAGCTATGGTTGTCTCTCCAATAATTGGTTGTCAAAATTATTTCTGTATTTCACCAGATACTGCTAAAATAGAACCCCTATTCTGTTTTTTTTTTTTCTCATAAAACACACCCAGGTAAATTAATCTGACATTTTTCTGTTGTCTGGGGAGTTGAGATATTTCGGGACTGAACTTCGAACTGCCGGGAATTGACTTACCTGGAAACGCAACTCTTCTACTGGCGGCTCGGCATAGGGAATGCCTCTGAATTGCATAAAGGTCTGATCTGTCCAAGCGGTTCTCCCGAAATTTCCGAGAACTTTTCCCTGGCTGTTTAATAAATCCACAGTCACAGTTTGTGTAACTGCATCTGCCCCGCTGTAGTTGCCGGTGAGAGAGATCACCAGCACAGCGGTCAGTGCTGCAGTCAGCACACTGCAGAGCGTCAACATAACGTATACGCCGCGTCTACGCATAGCACTGGACTGATTTCGACTTTGAACGAAAGCGGGAACCAAATGATTGCTGAACGAATGGTAGGCATGATTGAGGAAACGTGACTGAAACGAAATACGCTTCTTTGGTTGGGTGATACAGTGATGGACAGAAAAATACAAATAGGAAATAGAATAGAGTTAGTATCTTAGAAAAAAGTAATCGGCTATGGGTTTTAAAATTATTTACAAACAGGAAAGGAAACTAATTTCGGCACGACGAAGTTTTAATACCCTTGAGGTTTGCAATTGGATCATTAAGATTCGATCCATTCTGGTTAAATTAATAGACAAAAATAAAAGGAAATATATAATTTGGTTTTGATAAAATTAAAAAAAAAAAAAACAAAGTTTAATCTATAAAAAAAAATATTTTTAGATTTAAATATCTAATATAATAAACATTATAAATTTAAATGTTAAAAAACACAAAACAAAGTTTCATTACATTTTACCTATAGTTATTTTATTTACAGTTTGATAGTTACAGTTTTATACCCGCAGCTTTACATTTTTCTGTACATCTAGCGATCGTTTCTATGGTAGCCATAGGATAAACATAGTCGTACGATTTTCAAAAAATAAAACCGAAATTCTGAAATATCAAAAAATTGCCATATCTCAAAAAAGATTAAGGTTGAAAAACCAAGTCAAGTTATATATTTTTTTTAATTTATCGATCATTTATACGGCAGCTATATGATATAGTCGGTTGATCTGGCCCGCTCTGACATATATAGTAGTGAAGACAGAAGACTATGTGCAAAGTTTTATTCTGTTAGCTTAAAAACTGAGGAACTTGTTTGCATAGAAACGGACAGACGGACATTGCTAGATCGACTTGGCTGTTCATGCGGATCAATTTACAGGTTCGAAACAGTCTCCTTCTCTGCGTTGCAAACTTCTGACTAAAAATTTAAAACCAAGGAAATAAATATCAAAGAGAGTTCGTTAAATCTGATAGAAAGTGAACTCAAAATTTTAATTTTGTATTTGTATTACAACATGTGTTTCACTTCATATTCATACCTTAAGTGGTCTTCTCATTCAAAAGCCGTTTTTTGGACCCTTTTTAAAAAAATTCTTATTTGAAAACGCAAAGAATAATTGAAAACTTTTTTTATTTATTGTATTCAAAAATGTTCAAAATAACTAAAAAAGTTGTTCTTGCCTCGATACGAGGGTTGTTCAAAGAGTAATGAGACTTCAAACTTGGTGGTCGAAAAAAAAGGTGTCGTCCTGGCGGGCACGATTCAGGGTCTCCAGAGCGTCCGAAATGAAAAATAAAAACGGGGTTATAATCAGAATAGATGTCATTTTCGGGTGACGGAACAGATTTTTTTTTTAAATTTTTTTAAACAAAATGGCGGCTATTCAAAAAAAAAAATTCGATTTCGGGCTTTTTTTTTTTTGTAGTTTAGTGTAAAAAAAAAATTTTTAAAAAATTAAAAAAAATCTGTTCCGTCACCCGAGAATGGTGACAATTCTGCGTCGATTCCACTTCGTTTCATGAAAATCGGTTGAGTTGAACTGGAGATATCATGGCCGCCAGTTCGAAAAACGTGGTTTCGAGATAAACGCGTTTGAAGTTTGAAAAAAAGCTCATTTTGCATAGATCTTGCTTTACAAAAAAAAGGCTGTATCTTCTAAAGTATTTCGAATTTCTAAAAATCCTTTTGGGGACATATACACAACATCCCAAGCTATAAATAAATGCAAAAAAAAAAATCGAAGAAAAAAAGTCCCAATGCCCAATGAGAAGACCCCCTTAATACAATCTTTATCTAAAATATTCACTTGTTCGTATTCTATTATTATTTCCAGCACTGTATGTACATATTTACACTGGGAAGATTCGTATTCTTGATTGCTTTCTTATCTGCATAACTTAATTCAATTCAATTCCTGTCAATTTAACAGACAGTTAATTATAGATTAAATTACAGGTCGATCTATTTACTATCTCAATTTTTCCAATAATAATTAATTAGCCTAGTTAGCTCAATAACCATGATTTCAAAATCATTTCTAATTGCAGTGTCTAATGATTGCTATTTACGGGTGGAATCAAACAGCTTTCAGTTTCTTTTTTAACTTCTTTTTAATAATAAGTAAACAATAGTTAAAGACGCAGTATATTAATACATTTCCTCAAAGAACCCTTTTAATTGATAATATTTCTTATAAGGAATCAATTGAACTTTCAATAGCTTTTAATTAAACTGTTTTTATACAATTAACTTGCAGGTTATTCACTGTCTCAAAGACAAGTTCCGGCAATCGGCGCTAGACGAGCCATGCGCTCAGGAAATGATAAAGATCCTGCAGGATCAGGCCCTTAACTATAAGCTGAATCCCCTGCTTCAAGTCTTCTGCAAGTCGGAGATCCAGGAACTGTGTAAGGCCAACATGGAAGCCGACGAGCATGGCCAGGTGGCAGAGTGCTTGAAGACGGCCTTTTTGCAAAAGCAGATCATCAATAGACAGTGCCAGATGGAGGTCGCCACACTCATCGCGGAAGCTAAAGCTGACATCCATGTTGATCCCATTCTGGAGAATGCCTGCATTGTGGACTTACTCCGGTACTGCTCCAAAGTGGCGGCCGGCAATGGAAGAAGTGAGTTCCAAAATCTCAATTTATTTCATTTTATTTATATTGATTTTTTTCAATGCATTTTCAAAATGGAAAATGAAAAATATTAAAAATACTATAAATACTGCCGTCCACAGAACTTAGCTGCCTGAGAACGCTGTTGAAAGACACTCCGAACTCGCTTGAGGCGGAGTGCCGCGAGAAGCTGGAGCGTCGCATCGAGATGTTCCACAATGCCGACGACACGCTAGCTCTTCCGCCGGAGGATGTGCAGCAACTGGTTCAGCAGGTGGTCGCATCGCCGGCCCGTAAATTTTTCCTTGTGATACTGATGAGCGCAACGGGAATGGTCTTCCTCACCGGCATCTTCTTGGGAAGGGCCACCAAGCGAGCAATGGGCTTAAAGAACAAATAATAACAATAATAGTTGTAAAATGTAGTTGCTGTGTGTAATCAGAGTGTGAATGTCTGTGAGCTTGTTGTTTTTTCAATTGGCTAACCCATGACCCGGATTTGATCATCCCCTGCCCTCCCCTCACCGTCCCCTCACTCTGCCTGTCTTTTGAATATTTTTATAAGCAATTCGTGGCCTAATCTTGTGTAAGACCAAAAAGTAAGCGAAAAAAAAGATCTATGATTAAATCTGCTAGTTCCATTCTTAGGGCCTTCTTTTGTGTTATAATTCCTTTTATAAAAATATTTCTTGTATATTAAATAGTATTTTTGTAAAATATCTCTTCTGCATTTTAAATACCCAATTGGGCAACAGGTGGGGGATGTACACAAACCGAAGGAAGAACAATGGAATTATTCCTAATTACAAAAATTACATAATTAAGCCAGCATTTTCCTTGACCTCTTTTTGTTTAAGAATTTTCATATTTGGAGCCCTGCACAAATGGGCCTTTTTAAAATGCATTAAAAAATGCATTTTTATTAGGTGGCTCAACAAGTGGTTTGGTATTTTATTGTTCTAGTATATTTCTCTATGCCGGTTGGTATATTTTACGGACACACTGCTTTTGCAGTCCAGTTTTTCATCCGCAGTCAAATAATTATAATAATAATAATAAGGTGAAAATGTAAGGCACACACTTTTGAATAAAATAACAGAAATGTTGAGCAGTGTACGTATTTTAATTACGTTCTTGCTTGTGCCAGTGTGACCAGGTGCCGCGGAGTGGAAAAACGGCTCTTTTTTGTTGAAGTGTAGCACATAAACGGAAAACCTGGCGAGCACTGCCATTGTTCGCGATAAAAAGGCTTCGAGCAAGCTAAACGTGTCTAAAAAATTGAAGTAAATCGTCAATAGTGCCAATAATCACACCAAAGTGATGTTTTAAATGTGCAATAATGGCTGAATTCCAATAAGAATTATCAAGAATTATCAAGTAAGCAGTCCAATTCATTCACACCGCCGCACACCAACACAGGCGCAGCGAAAACGGGTTCTATTAAATAGCTAACGTAGCAAAAGTACAAACAGTCGCGGTCAAGATAGAAGCAACGCAACATTTTAAGACCAATTCACAGAGATTGGGGTATACAAGCTACAAGAAGAATTTATTTATTATATTTATTAACAATAAAATAAATAAATAAATAAATAACATAATAATAATAATAGTACAATATGCTACGTTTCTTGCAATCTGAGACTAACTTTATTTATCGTCACAATCCCAAGTCTTTTATATTACAAAAAATAATAAATGTTTATTTTTTTGTATTTAAAGCTTACGACTATTTATACGCCCTGTGCTGTACACACCAACAATGGACGTTAAGGTTGAGGCGTTCATCAAAAGCGAAGGTAAGTCCGCACGTCCAGTCGCGGTCGAGTCAATGCACCTTGGAACCCAGTCTGACATTGCCATTGCCCTCTGACCTTGTAGAAAACCGAGGAGCGATGCCTCTGATTGGAAGTAGCAGTTCGTCGGGCGGCGCTCCAACAGTGGGTGGAGGAGCCGTGGGAATCGGAGCATCCGCCACGTTGAGCGTGGAGCTGTGCCTGGTGTGCGGAGACCGCGCCTCCGGGCGGCACTACGGCGCCATCAGCTGCGAGGGCTGCAAGGGCTTCTTCAAGCGCTCGATCCGCAAGCAGCTGGGCTACCAATGTCGGGGCGCTATGAACTGCGAGGTGACGAAGCACCATCGGAATCGGTGCCAGTTCTGCAGGCTGCAAAAGTGCCTGGCCAGCGGCATGCGAAGTGATTGTAATTTTCGTTTAAGTCGTCGTCTCAAGCAATTAGCGAATCTTTGGCACAGCCAGAGTGTACGTGCTCCATCAGTGAAAATCCGAGGACACCAACTCGGGGGATATTCATTTAAGGGAAGCTACTAAGAATTAACTAAAACCAGTAAAATGATTTTCAGTGTTAGAGATCGATTTGTCCGTTTAAAATTCAATTACTTTTCCTGTAATGATATTCTGGCCAAGCCCATTTGAACCTTAAAATCTCGCTGATCGAAAGACCTACTTGTTGCAACGGTAGCTTCACCTTGCCTGGAAATCCACTGCAATTACTCGCTCATCATTTGCTATCTGAAACTGCGGGGGCACAAAAGACTTCCCAACTAGCACACACACACACGCTAACCCATCCACTTCCACACCCTCACTCTCACCCCGCCTGAAATGAATCATCGAACCGCATCGCATCGCAGTCCTACATACTTCTTGCTCCAATTAATTGCTTTCCGTTCTTGGCCACAAACATTTCTTTGATTTGCAGCTGTGCAGCACGAGAGGAAGCCGATTGTGGACAGAAAGGAGGGAATCATTAACGCGGCAGCAGGTGGCTCATCCGCTTCTGGTGGTGGAGGAGGCTCCTCCACTTACCTCTCCGGGAAGGCGGGCTATCAACCGGGTGGGCGTGGTAAGGGGCACAGTGTCAAGGCCGAGGCCGCAGCCACTCCCCCTGTGCAGAGCACCACAGCCACGCCGTTCAATTTGAATGAGAATTTGTTTCCAATGGGGCTGAACTTTGCCGAATTAACGCAGACCCTAAGTGAGTTGAAATCAAATTTTTCTCGTTAGCTAGCTAAAATATTATTTATCTATCTAAGTGTAAGTAGTAAGGAGATCATATGTACATATGCTTCTATTTATATACATTTTGGTAGAATTTATAGTTAAGCCAGTTTTTTTCAAGTTGAACGAGGTTTTTAGCGTGTTTAAAGGGGGATGGGAGCCAGTTTGTAACCGTGTAAGACCGGCTTCATGCTAAAAGAGTCCGTGTTAAGCGAGGACCAAGTGTACATACATATATGTTTATATTCTTGATTAGCATCAACAGTCGCTTCGATCTAGTCATGCCCGTTTGTCCGTTTCAACGCAAACTAGGATCTTAGATTCAGAGGAATCTAAACATAGCCTTTCAAACGGCAATCTTTATATTGCAGGATCGAACCACCATATCCTGTGGCTGTCAGACATGTTCAGAAAAATAGATATTTCGTGATTTTTACGATTTCTTACTTAGCTTACTGATCGGTTTATAAGTCCAAGTTAGGTACAGATGTATGTCGAGTTAAGTTTTCTCTTTTGTTCAATTTTGATCCCAAAACATTCGTTTTCCAGTGTTTGCCACCCAACAACAGCAGCAACAGCAACAACAGCAGCAGCAGAGCGGCAGCTATTCCCCTGACCTTCCCAAGGCAGATCCCGAGGACGATGAAGACGACTCGATGGACAACAGCAGCACGCTGTGCCTGCAGCTCTTGGCCAACAGCGCCAGCAACAATAATTCGCAGCACCTGAACTTCAATGCTGGCGGAGAAGCGCCGACGAGCACACTGCCTACAACCTCGACAATGGGCCTCATCCAGAGCTCGATGGACATGCGGGTGATCCACAAGGGACTGCAGGTTCTGCACCCCATTCAGAATCAGTTGGAAAAGAGTGGGAATCTAAGTTTGAAGCCCGAATGCGATTCAGAGGCGGAGGACAGCGGCACCGAAGACGCTGCCGATGGTGAACTGGAGCACATGGACCTTGACTTTGAGTGCGGTGCGAATCGTGGTCCCAGCGCGGGCGACTTTGTGGTTAATGAGGTGGTATTTGAACAGGATCTACTTACTGACGCCCAGTGCGCCTTCAATGTTCAGCCCCCCACATTGGTTCACTCGTACTTGAACATCCACTATGTGTGTGAAACGGGATCGAGGATCATATTCCTTACTATCCACACCCTTCGCAAGGTACCGGTGTTTGATCAGCTGGACGCCCATAGTCAAGTGAAACTGTTGCGGGGTGCCTGGCCAGCTCTGATGGCTGTTGCGTTGGCTCAATGTCAGGGCCAGCTATCGGTGCCCACGATTATTGGGCAGTTTATACAGAGCACTCGACAACTGGCAGATATTGACAAGATCGAGCCCCTTAAGATCTCCAAGATGGCCAATCTCACGCGCACCCTCCACGACTTCCTTCAGGAACTGCAGTCGCTGGAAGCCACAGACCTGGAGTTCGGACTTGTGCGACTAATCCTGCTCTTCAATCCCTCCCTACTCCAGCAGCGCAAGGAGCGTCAGCTAAGGGGATACGTTCGAAAAGTTCAACTCAAAGCTTTATCCAACTTACGCCGACAGGGGGGTGGTGGTGGAGAGGAGCGCTTCCATGCGCTGGTGGCCAGACTACTGCCACTGAGCAGCCTGGATGCGGAGGCCATGGAGGAGCTGTTCTTCGCCAATTTAGTTGGCCAGATGCAGATGGATGCCCTGATTCCGTTTATACTGATGACCAGCAACACCAGTGGCCTGTAGTTGAAGGGACAATAAAGAATTTGGTGGGCGGGCCATGAAGCTGCGCAACGCCCACAAGCAAGACTGAAGATGGACCAAGTGCGGGCAATACAAGTAGAAATAAGGAAAACCCCCATAATATATATTTAATAAATATTTTGTCAGACAATATTCACACGCATGGGACGTGAGTTTATTGTTATTCGCAATATAATTAAATGAAATCAATTTACAAAATAAAATAAAGAATGTTTTTTAAACAATGTTTACAAAATAAAATTCTTAAAGATACTGATTTTGGGAACTATGGAGTAGCATTCCTATTTTCAACTATATCTCATTGTTTTGTTTATTTTTTTTTATCAACTAAAATCTTGAGTTTATTTTGTTTTAAATTTTATTCACTGTAACTAGAAATAATAATACGGTTATAAATTATTTGTAGTATACCTAAAAACAATAAAATATATATTTTCGATATGGGAAAAGAACATGATTTCTTAGAAAATGTAAAATATTAAGATTTTGGACATCGCAGCAAAACGAATTCATATGCCCCAAATACTCTTTCACTTGCGATAGCAAGTTAAAGTAAAATCCTTAATTTAATAAATGGCTTAAATATACTTTTTAATTTCGTTTACGTTATCCCGCCTGCAAAATCAAGGTATTTGTAATAAAAATAAATAGACGGTTAAGACAAAATACAGTAGAGTGGATGGACCAGTACCAATATTTTTTTCAACAAAAATAGACATTAATAAAAAAATATGTTTTTCTTTATTTCGATAGTTTTTAGAAAAATACACGTTCATTTACAACAATATGTTAGCTTAGAGATGAGTGCCATCTAAAGAGGCATTTAATCTTTACAACTTAAACCGAACCTAAATAGACGTTATTGAGCTCCTGCCTCATCCGGTATCTTTCTGGGGGGCTTGTGCTGCTTGTAAACCGCATCGTTGAGACCCTCGCGATTTCTGGCAATCTCAATTGCTAGAAACTGAACGCGGAACACGAAAATAGAGTTATCCGGGGAGAACTCCTTAGTGGCATCCGCACGCATCAGAGTGCCATACGAGTAGTCGTCCATCTTGTTAAACTTCTCGGCAAACTGCCGCCACTTGAGCTTCTCCGCGGCGGACTTCAGGCTTTCGTCGGTCAGCTGGCCCACCTTAAGGTCCGGAAAATCCTGTCTGAAGGTGGCATATATCTGGTCGTCGTAGGGCGTGAGTCTCAGTTGAGATGGGTGGATGCTGGTCAGCAGCTGCAGTAATACACAACACCCATTAACAAACCCTAATCCATTCCTGCAATATTATACGAATCTCACATTGAAGTGGACCTCTGCATGCTCCAGAGCTTTCGCGGCCCACATTTCCTCCACCAGAGAATCATTACCAAACTCATCGGCTGGGCGCGAGAGCAGCGATGCTCCTTGCTGAAATATATGATCTTATTAGGCAAACGGCGGGGCTCCTAAACGGATTAAGACTTACCATCATCTCCATTTTTGAGTCCAGTAAATGATTTTCTTTCAAAATTAGGAATCTTTAAAATATCAGCACGTTTCTTTATTTATCAGACTGTGTGACCAGCCGCTATTAAATCGTTAACACTACTTTCTATACGGCCCTGTTTCCAATGGGGTCGCATCCATGCTCGTGAGTCCAATCAGCAGAATCATCAATGATCTGGTACTTTTGGTCATGCCATTAGCAACCAGCGTTGCCAGATTGTCAGTGCACGAGCAACCGGCATTGCCAGATCGTCAGCATACGAGCGACCAAAAGTACCAGATCGTCCGTTGATGAGGTAATTTTACTTAAATTTTAACATTCTACATGAGAATTCGACACTGTTATTCTGTAAAGCCTAGTACTCTGACGAGAAAAATCCGCTGTATAAATTTAGACAGCGGCCAAACTCCATATAAAAAAAACGGTGTCGAAAAAAAAGAAGAAGAACTTTTAGACACGTCGTTTTTTTCGGTACTCTGTCGACGAAAATGAAGCCTGCGAAAATTGAATGGCGTTGCCAGATCAAGATAGTAAACAGCTGATATCGCGCTGTCTAAATAATTCATTTGATTTATTTAGACACCCCTAATGGAGGGAAAGTTGAAGGAAAAAAGTAGCATTGATAGGGGCTGTCAAGGGGAAGCCCATAATATGGAATTTAACCCACAAACGACATTTTAATGCCATATTTATTAATATTTTTAATATTTTTTTTGAATATTTGTTTACAAACAGCTGTCCAGTGTGACCAAGGAAAATCCTTAAACGCCATAAAAAGTACATTTTCATGGAATTTCCTTAATTTTTTTGGTCACACTAGCTCGGTAGCGAAATAAACAGCGATTCCGCTGTCTAATTTAGACAGCGGGTTTTTCTCGTCAGAGTACTAGGCTTAAGCGTGTAAGATTGATTTTGACATTTTAACATGAACGTTTACTCTTGCTGAATTTTAATTAGATAAATACTAGTTATAAATAGAAACTAAAAAATATAAAAAAATGTAAGAATTTAACGAAAAAATTAAAGTTGATTTTTTAAAATTAAATTAAATAGTATTTCTTTGCCGATTTTCCCGAAATAAAGAGGAATAGCTAAGGCATTTGAAAAATATATATTTCAATTTCGAGTCTAGAAAAACTTACTAATCTTTTTCAATTTTTTAACAAAAGCTATACAAAAGAAAAAAAACTCCTGCCCACGACCTGCACTATTTTCATTAAAATTTTTTCATAAAGGCTTATAGGGTCTTCCCACACAGCGTTAAAGCGCATTTAGCATCCGTTGAACAAATGCTCCCAAATGGCCCGGCGTTAGTTCAGCATTAGATTTTAATGCTGAACTAACGCCGGTTTGTTTGGCGATAGTTAGGCGATAGTTTTTCGGTGCAACTCTGATTCTTCTTCTTAATTTGACCATTCACCACGAAAATGTAAACAAACTTGGCGAGGAACAAATGAGATATGGAATTTAAAACGTGGCGCCAAAGCTACAAGCATGCCCAAATAGTTGTTGGCGTTTTTTCTGTATATTCTTGCCCCAATTTGTCCCCAATTGTTACTATTTAATATAAACCGCCTATCTCTACCTTATTTTAAAGATTTTGGATGCCTATACCACCTATAGACACTCTTCGGGGAATTTGCTCTTTGTTAGAGAAAAATCATTAGAAAAACTAAAATTCCTTGTCATTTAATTCATTTAAATTTATTGCGGATAAATTCTGACGCAATCTGTGCCTTTTGCTGTTGTACAACAGCCAAAATAGTTGGTAAATGCTCCATTTCAAATTTGCAACTGCCAATTCGACAGTCTTTGTTTACGTTTTCATGAGCTCACAGCTGATCGATCAGCTGCTCGGATGCTAAATGCCCTTTAATGCTGTGTGGGAACACGAGTTTCACATTTGTGAAAAATCCCAAACGTTCCTCACAAATGCGCTGTGTGGGAAGACCGTATTAGTGTATTTAATTATTAACAATACAAAAATTTAGGTAAGATAAACCTTTGAGAAGATATAGCTAATAACAACAAAAAATGTCTATATTATGCTGTTAATTGAAATAGCAGTCAAAAATAAAATTCTTCATAAATTTCAAAATATTGTATAAGAAACCTATTTCTTCTGAAATTTAAATTGACTATGATCTAATATTTTGTTAAATAGCCTTTAGAAGCTACGATAGCCTCATACCTGGGTGAATGGCGTCGCCAGATCAAGATAGTAAACAGCTGATCTCGGGGTGTAACAATAATTAATTTGATATATTCTTACACCCCTAATGGGGGGAAAGTTGAAGAAAAAAAGTGGCATTGATAGGGGCTGTCAAGGCGAAGCCCAAAACATGGAATTTAACCCACAAACCCATATTTATTAATATTTTAAATATATTTTTGCAAAATTTGTTTACTAACAGCTATCCAGTGTGACCAAAGAAAAGCATTAAACGCCATGGCGTTTCATGGCTTTTCCTTAATTTGTTTGGTCACACCAGCGTTGCCAGCTGAGAATCTCAGCTATATAGCTAAAGACTGGCGAATTCGCTAGAAATCTAGCGAAAAAGCCTATGATTTAGCTTTATAGCTGAGAATCTAGCTATATAGCTGTTGCAAAGATCCAATCACTGGTTTTGAACGACAGGTGGCGTTGTAAATTGGTTTTAGAATTCATTATCTACGTTGTTGGTACATCTAGAATGTAGAGGGAGCTGTACCAACAAAACTATAAATAACTTACTATAAAACCGATTTACAACGCCACCTGTCTTTCAAAACCAGTGATTCGATCTTTCCTTTTTTTCAATGTAGAGGGAGCTGTACCAGCCAAACTAAAACCTATTTACAGCGCCACCTCTCGTTCGAATCCAGTTATGCAAAATCTAGTTTAATATCCGCTAGGTGGCGAAAATTTAAATTTAAAGCAAAAGAAAACGTTCTGGCGCTCGTAAAAAAACCGTTTCGAAGTTACGATTTTACGTCACGATTTTTGGTTCGTTAAGAAAACAAATTCGAAGTTACGATTTTTACGTCATGATTTTTGGTTCGTTAAGAAAACCGATTCGAAGTTACGATTTTAACGTCACGATTTTTGGTTCGTTAAAAAATCCGATTCGAAGTTACGATTTTTACGTCACGATTTTTGGTTCGTTAAGAATACCGATTCGAAGTTACGATTTTTACGTCACGATTTTTGGTTCGTTAAGAAAACCGATTCGAAGTTACGATTTCTACGTCACGATTTTCGGTTAGTTAAAAAAACTCTCGTGAAGTTTTTTTTGCTCTTAATTTCAGCTATTTTTCTCTTTTTCGCTCTCAATTCAGATAATTTTCTTTATTCTCTTTCTAATTTTCTTCTCACTTTCTCGTTATCATTTAAACAACTTCAATTTCAAGGACAAATTTAACCATATTTTATTTATATAAGCCCTTTATAATCAAAGATTTCAATGCTGAGAATAGCTTGACGGCGGCTGAAATAAAAAAATATTTATATTTATTATACGAATACATATTATTAAATATATTATATACTATATTAAATATTTAACATACCTGTTCCAGCCATGTTTAGGCCGTGATCCAATCCTTTTATTTGGCATGTGTGTATGTAAATTGCAGATTTTATTCTCATCAAATTTTGATAAACAAAACAAAAGCTTTTTATTAAGTGTCGCTCCCACATAAAAATATAAAATAAATAAATACAAAATTTTAAATTAGTGCAAGTACTTACGGGATTGTCATTGTCATTGCCTTTGCCTTCAATTGTATAATTATTATTATTTTTTTTTTGGGCTCAAATTATTTTTATTATGCATTCATTTTGTTTAATTAAAGTATTTTACTTCTGAAAAATTTTAAAAAGTTGTTATTATTATAATTTTTTTAATAAATGAATACTTAGGGCGAGGGTGGGACTGACGGCAGGACTGGGAGTTTGGGAGGGACGACTTGGGAAAGGATTTGGACTAGGAAATATTCTTTCTAGGCGCCGAAAATAAATTCAATGAACTTACTGATTTAATCATTTAATTTTTTATTTTAAAGCAAAAAATAATATTTAAATTCAAATTAAATTAAACTAAATAATTAAAAAATAAATAAATATGGCGTTGTTAAAAATATTTCAACGAAAAGTCTGGTACTTTTCGGTCCGGGCTACCAGCGTTGCCAGACTTTTCGTTGATATTAACAGCTCTGTTACTCTCATGTTAACATGCACGGACGATCTGGTACTTTTGGTCGCTCGTACGCGGAAAGTCTGGCAACGCTGGTCGCTAATGACACGAGCGACCAGCGTTGCCAGATCGTCAGTGCACGAACGACCAAAAGTACCAGATCGCCCGTTGATGAGGTAATTTTACATACATTTTAACATTCTAATCAGAATTCGACCCCAAGCTTATAAATAGAAACTAAAAATATTAAAAAATGTAAGGATTTTAAGAAAATAAAAGTTGATTTTTTTAAAATAAATTAAATAGTATTTCATTGCCAATTTTCCCGAAATAAAGAGGAATAGCTCAAGCATTTGAAAAATATATATTTCAATTTAGAGTGCTAGTCTAGAAAAACGTACTAATTGAATTTGAATTTTGTAAAAAAAGCTTAAAATAATTTGGCACCAAATTTGAAACCGTTTGTTGAAGGTTTTCGATTAAAAAATATATAGATAAACTCGGGAATACATTTTGAATTGCGCGGCATAGCAGGGAGGTGGTGGGTGGTGAGGTGGTGGATGTATGAAGGAAAGTATTCGTATTCAGTTAAAAATTTCACTCAACGAAGGCGGTTGTGCCGCGGAAAAGTCGCAACTTCGTAAATTTCCAAAGAGGAAATTATCTGCCGCGTCGGTTGTGCGTTGCGCTAACATCTCAAAATATATACAATTTTCCATTTAAAGTTGTTTATAAAGTGTATTCAATTATCTTTGGTTCAAGTTATTTGTAAGTCTTCAACGTAAAAACAAGTGCAAGTGTGAATTTCGAAAAAGTCTTGTTTTCCTTTGATTCATGTATGGCGTAAGTTTTGAACAGTGTAAAATAATAAATATTATTGTGGGAAAGCTGAAATAAAATTAAAAGTGCTAGCGCACGGCCAAAAAAGAAGAAATTGAAACAGAAAATAACACGAAATGCAAAACAGTTATAAATAAAAAACGAAAAGGCTGAATTTCGGCAACACCGGGCGTGACACAAAATAGCAGTTAATTGGAAAATAGTGTTTCGAAAATACGTGGTTTTGGAAACTAAATCAGAACTACGCAAATCCCAGTAAAACCAGACACGAAACCCAAGTGAATTTTGTGCCAAAATGCATTGTACAATAGCGAATGAAGAGACCGCAAATGTTTATTGCGTTCTGATTTGCTTTTTCAAAAACACAGTCACACGCACGCACACAAAGACACCCACACGATCGGCGAGTGGCAAAAGTGCAACAGTGATAAAAACAAATGCACAACAAAAAATCAAAGTCGGAAAAGTTTCACAATACAAAGGCGGCTTATGCATAAAAATGTCCAGTTCGGCTCTGTGCACTTGTCACGTCGCGTTGCTGCAAAAACAGCACTTTTTCGCAGCTCTATTTCGCTTTTGACCGCGCACGCACTTTTTCGCCTCACTGTTGCTGAACCTCTGATTGGGCTGAGCTTAAGCATACCAGTGGTACTGTGAATTAACAACCTCCTAGAATCTATCTTCTGTGAAAGTGTTTTAGTCTTTGTTCCATTTATTTTTTTTTACTTCAAGACCGAATATTAATATCTTAATTTCTTGTACTAATAATTGATTAGTGCACCGATCAAATATATATAAAGAATTTATATATTTCGAAATAAAATAGTGGAAGACCTATGTATATGTATATTCCAGAAAATAAAACTCTTAAAGGTAACCATTTTAAAAGTTCTAATTGTTTTCCATACGGCTATGGTGATCGTTCTATCGTCTTTCTATCCTCTACCTTGGATCAAATATAAAGAATATGTTAGTAAATATTAGGGAATATAGAGAAATGTATTACAAAATTCATAAAATCAAGATTTACGATTGATTGATTAAGCAAATCAAACAGATTATGATTTATATTATTGATTATAATGAGATTCCCTCTTTCAGCCACCTTAATTACATTCTAATAGAATAAATAGTGATATCAATTTACAACATTGAATGTAATTATATGTAACATTATCAATTGCCTTTTACCCGTTTACTTAATTTAAAACTCAGTTCCATAGTTTGTTGTCTTTTTCGATGTATGTACATAGATTATACATACATACGTATATTTTATATTATTCATATGGGAATTTCCACAGAAAGGCGCTAAAAAACTAAAGTTCTCCAATTTTAATTTTTTTTAAATGGCTACATACATTGAATAGTGTTCCATGGGATGAATTTTGACATAATCTTGCATAATCTAAAACAGAAATAGAAATATTCGAATGCAATGTAGCGCAAATTCGATTTTTAATTATTTTTATGAAAAACATCATAAAACAGGGCACGTTTTGTTTTTATAAATCATTGACTTTTACTTTCTAACATCACTGGAAGAATGCAAAGACTAGAAAATAAACACAAAAGGAAATATTACATTACCAACAAGGGTAAAATTTGTATGTGCATTTTCGCTTCCTTTTATAAAAATTTTAATTAAGAATTTCGTAAAAAACAAAGAAAAAAAAATTGACCGTGGGCAATGTCCCGTGTTAATCTACATACTTCAAATTGAATAAAAAAAGGCATTGTTAAAAAAACTCAACCATTTTTAAGAGGCAACTGTGCACAAAAGCTTAAAATTAGTTTAAATACTGCCGCTGGATCAGCAGACATTTGCGATTGAATTGGTCTACCTTAAAAACCACTTCCGTTTTTATCTTAAATATAAAAAATTTCACAAAATCAATCAATCAGTAACGTCTAAACTCATGTTTTTTTCAGCTTAAATGCGTACAAATGTCGCATTGAACAACAGACAATTGTCATCTGCATTTTATTCAGATAGCTCAGTCAAAATTATTATCCCATTATATGGGATTTTATTAACAAGGGACATTTTAATTACGCAAATAATCTGTTTTCGGGCGCCAATATCATTCGCGTTTCTGGGTATTTGTCTTAACCTCCAGTCATTGACCATTTTTGTATACCCTTGCAGGGTATTCTAATTTAAACAATGTTTTTGAAATTTTACCAAAAGAAAATAAATATTTTCAATGTACATACATACATACAATGGACTATATCTTGAGGCTGATCGGGTAATTAGGAGAAAAAAAATTATAACTTCGTTGATTTTCAAATTTTTTGAATATATTATATATATGTAAGATATCATATAAATGTAAGGCTGGGAATGTAAAACTGTAACTGTCATACTGTAAACATAATAAGTATAGAGAAAATTTAATGAAAATCTTGTGTGTCAGCATATATTATATATAAATATCAAAACAAAATTATTATATGATATGTATAAATATACAACTATTATATATTTCTTTTTATTTTATTTTATATTATTTTATTTTTTTTTCTAATGATCCAATTGCAAACTGCAAGGGTACACAAGCTTCGGCGTGCCAAAGTTATAATCCCTTCTTGTTTTTAGTTTTAATTGAATTTAATTAAATTTAATTTGTTTGATATTTCGCATAAAACAAACAAAACAAAACATTTAAACAATTTCGCTAAATAAAGTGAAGCTCAAGTAACAGATGGAATTTCAAAGTATTGGATTGTTTGCAAGTATTTCCCAGATTTGCTTTTGCGAAAATTGTACCGGTATTTCTGCTCTTTTGTCCCACCGTAATATTGAGTCATTCCAACAAGTTGTTGATGCAGTCTTGGGCCGATTTTTCTATTTCTTCTTATAGCTTGTTCTCGTATTCTCTGCTTTCCTGTTTCTGCTGCCTAATGCATAAATTACATTTTCCTTTTCGACTACACCAGATTTGTTCAGCACCTTTTTAGCGAAAAGTTTCCAGGAAATTGTCAACAGAAATTGAAAAACTCCCATGTAAATACACACCCACACACACAGGCGCAGCGCTTAATAAAGATTAACGCATTTCTTATCAAGCTGATAGCAAAGAAGATGGAATGAGAGAGAGAGCCTGTAGGAGCGAGAGCGAAAACAAGAGAGCAGTGATATCTTTTCTCTGCCTGATTAGCAGCGTCTAGTTTTTCTCGTATTATTTATTTGTTTTCTCGTTGCTGCCTTCATCTCCTTCCTCCCTTCCTCTCTTTCTTCACCACGCTTGCTTTATTTTCGCGCCGCTGCTGATAAAATAAAGAACAATATTAATTTAAGTTTAAAAATAGAATTTGCTGCAGATGCCATTGCATGAATGTGTGCGAGCGAGAGATTGCTTGCTCTCGGCGGTTCGGCTCTCTCCCTCAACTCCCTCTCTCTCTCTCTCTCTGTCTCTTATATCGCACACATGTTGATATGCAGCAGTGCTGCCGGGTTCTGTAAGATTCGGAGCACAAATAAGCTAAATATATATATAAAAAAAATTGGCATACGGGGCTCTAGCATGGTGGGCGACAATTTACTAGAGTATAATAATATAATATCACAAAACTAACAGGATAAATGAACTAGCCGGAAATAACGATGTCAAATAGATCTGGCTACCACGGCACAACGACATTCTAGGGAATGAAAAGACAGACTTGGCTGATCAACTTAACAATAGAAGAATAGAATAAAAAATATGCAACTGATATCCAAAAGTAGGCGGCGGCCTTCACTAGTCATTCGCCGATAGGTTCGTGGACATTTTTTAAAAGGAATTGTAAAACAGCGCGAAAAAATGTATCTTTGTTAATCCTCAAAACCCAAATAAACTTAAGTATGAGCCTGTACCAGGACAACGATCCGAAATTGATTCTGTGCAGAACATAACTGCAGCAAGGCAATTGATACTCCTGCCCAAAAGTCCTGACTTAAATCCTATAGAAAATTTGTGGGCTTTATTGAAGAAAAAAGAGAGTTGTTAAGTTGAATTATTCAATTTTGGTTTTTTAAATCCTAGGCATATTATAAAAGAAAAGATGAAAATTTTCTTGTTTTTGTTTATTAATTTTAAGTTTACTAGTTCTTAAGCCAAATTTTATGGGGTTTTTTAGTTTTGCAAAGAATTTCTTGACAAACTGTATATGGCCTGAAATGTGCTAAGCTGTCACCACTGAGCAGCAGCGTCGATGAGCGAGGGAGAGAAAAAGAGAGAATAGCAACTGTGATGCTCTCTCTCCTCTCTGGGCGAGACCAGATCTGATCTGATATTACTTACCGATTGGGATTTTACCCCATTTAACTTACCGATTGTTAAAAAATGCAAGAACTTAATGAAAAATAAAGTGTTTATTAAAAAATTAAATTAACAGCCACAGCTATTTCCTTTACAATTACTATTAATTATAAACAAATGATAAATTGTAATTATAATTTAATTAATTATATTAAAAAGAAATATGCACATACATATACTATTTACTCTTAGAAAAAAAAAACCGTCTATGCCAGATCTAGCCTGAAATAAGCTAAACTCGCTAAGCTTTCCTATTGGGGCTTTCGTTCAGTATTATTCTGTTCGCTTTCCGATTGGGGCTTTCGTTCAGTATTATTCTGTTTGCCTCCGCGTCAAGTTGTTTTTTCGGATCGCCAAAGCCGCGTGCGTCGCTCCCACACAAACACACTCACACGCACACATGGAAAACGACATTATGCATATGTATGTTTAATATATATTTTTCTGATTGGATTGGGGCAAAAACAAAACCCAAAGAGTGCGAAAAAGTAAGGAAAAAATAAAGTAAAAAGCCGAACAGCATTTTGAATATTATTCGGTGTGCGGTTTGTGTTAATAATTATTGCTGAATGAAAAACAAATTCCTACAAATGTGTTAACAAGAGTGTTTGCAGCCGCCGCGTTAAAAAGTTTACAACAAAACGGCACAAAAAATAACGAAAACTGGAATTTGTGATAATTGTTTTTTGAATGAACGAGCGGGCGATGTAGCGAGGGGAGAAAAGTGCAAGATAACAGATTTTGTTCGTTTTCCTGATAAGCGATACAGCGCGCATCTTTATCTCGGCCATAAAATTCGCTGATACTGCATAAAAAGTGTAATGTTCGAAAGCTCTGTATTTTGATATGCGACCGTTGGAGATTAGCTTGGTTACTCGAGTGTAAAGCCCAAAAAATAAACAAAAAAGAGCATACTTTTCCATTATTTAAACATATTGTTTTGCTCTTACGAAGGTTCTGATTCCAGATTCTTCGTTGCAATCTCTCTCTCACTGTCTTTCTCTCTCTCTCTCTCTCTGTCTCTATAATTTTCGCTTAACCTACCACAATTCTGCTCTTGTCTTTCTTCTTTCCTTTCGTTTCGCATATATGTAATTCCCTTTCCGTAGAATTTACCGTTATGTACTTTACTTAGTTCTCCACTCTCTCCCACGCGCTCTCTCTCACTCAACAACAACAACTACAGTTACAAAATTGAAATGTATATTATAATTAACCGCATTATTTTCCATATGAAAAGCAAAGCGGGTAAATAATGCCAACCGCAACAACAAGAAGCACAAAGTGAACAATCTAAAACAGCCAAAAAGCAAACCAATTAGGAAAAAACAGTGCAAAAATCTAATACAAATTGAGAAAAAAGGAAAGAACGCCAAGATCGTGTAAAAATAAAAAGTTTATCTAGCAAAGCTGAGCGCCGACGTGGGAGGCATCCGCAGTGAGAACGTCGGATAAACACACATATAGGCGAAAGCGGAAAGCGAAGAGTGGAGAGATCGGATAAGGAAGGCCAGTCCGTGTGAGTAAGCCTAATCTTTATAAAGAACATTAATTGATCTCTCGGGGCTTAAATTCATACTGCTTAAAAAAATGATTTTCTACTTTTTTGTTATTTATTATTTATTTATGTAGGAATCATTTCCTATGGTTAAAATTTCTTCGACGTAAAATATAGAATAGACTCATACTTAGTTCAAGTACTATTTATTTTTGAACAGATTTGTAGTTCAGATCATAATTTGTTTCTCAGAACCTTAGAACATAACAAATATTTCTAGAGTTTCACAAAAATAATATCACAGAAGATTGGATTTGATCTTGATCAAAATCAAATGATAAGAACTGGTTGTCCTCTTCTTATTTGTTTTAAATTTGTAACTAAATGTGTGTATTTGTGTAGACATTTATTCATGTCCTATGGTTCACATAGGATTTAAATGTATTTCTCCTAAAAAATAAATGGAACAATTACAATTACAAAACTATTTTCTTATTTTAAAATTTAGTTTAACAGTATTATAGTGCAGAATTCATTTTTATTGCACTTTTTTCAAGTATAATTCTTGAAAATGAATTTAGTTGCAATGCTTTAAATTTGTCTTGCAATCTTCGGTCAAAAACCAGAACTTTTTGGTTAACTAAAAGTCGAGATATTTTAGATTTACACAATAAAGGAGTCCATACATATGTTTGTACATATGTATGTGCTAAAGCCACTGCAATGAAACCAATAATTGGGTTAACTTTCCACCAGGACTTTATTTTCCGAGCTTTTCTCCCCGTGGATCACACGGGCAACTTCAATAAAAGTTGACCACTAAAATGCCGGCAATGAACCGCAACAAGTTGGTTTTCCCTAGCATTTTTTTTTTGTTTATTTTTGAGAGTTTAGTTTTACATTGCCGCAAGGGCTCTAACATTTCCTACATACAATTTTTCACTCTTAGGGTTTTTATTTTAAACCAATTTCAATTATTTTCTGGTCGCATTAAATTTTTATGGTGTGGAAAAGTTAAGAAAAAATCAAATGTATATTTGCATTTTTTTGGATTTTTGGGTGTTTACATTATTCCCAGTTCGCTAATGAAATTGAAATGTTCGGTGTGTCGGAAAGCGTTCTATATATAATTTTGTGTATTTATAGTGAGGCGCTGAGGCACTGTTTACGAGTGTGTGAGCTCGTGGGTGGTGGGTTTTCTGAGTGTAATTGACAGCTTCCTCGAGACCTTACAGAATATTATTTTTGGCAACTGGCAGAAACGCAAAACGTTCATAGCTTGAACTTTGAATTTAATTCGGTTGGGTATCTGTTCTTTGTCAACATTTGCACAGAAATACAAATGTTTCCCCATTTCCAAGCTGTTTGTTCGCAAAATATTAAGTAATAAATATATGGAGGCCGTTCGTTAAAATCGACTTCCACATTTCTGTAGCTTCAAAGCCACGGAGCCGTCGTTTTTACTCCTCTGACTGAACAGGTGTTTTTTGTTTTTAACTGTACGAAGTTCTAGGCATGAAAGCGATGTATTTAGAGCTACAGTTGGATCATAATTTTAGTGTATGAACACAAATTCCTGTTTCTTTTCGGATAGAATGAATCATTGTCTTTAAAGAATCTTGAAAGAGATTGAGCTGTGTTTTTATAACATTGAAATCATAATTTTATTCATTAAAAATTGTACTGTTGCCAATAATGGTTGATTTTGGAAAGAAAATCCAAATGTAAATAAAATCGGTTTCTGTGGCTTAGCTTTTCATATATTCCAAAGTGTTGCTCTTGATTATAAATAATAATAATCTTAAACTATTTTCGGGGAATAATGCTTCTATGCTAAAATTAACACATCAAATGTAGTTTGCCCTGCCTTGCAGGTTGCGGGTGGATCATTAAAAATATGTTCCTTTCGGTCAAACAAAAAAATGGCTAATCAAATTTAAAACATTATTTTTAAAACGTAAATACGAATGTTGAAAAACATGAAAGTAAATTCCAAATTTCATAACATTACCATTCCGATTTCTTACAGTCGGAGGGACGGACTAGTTCAAGAATATATATGTATAATTTATGGGGTGAAAATAATTCTTTCACTGAAAACTTTGGACTGAAGTTTGTAAAGTTATAAACTTGATCATTTGTAGATCGTTTCTATTTTTAACTTGTATCTCTGAGTATAACCTGAGAATGAATGAGTCCTATTTCTCATTACAGGAGACAGAGGTACCTCTGTCCATACCTAGGTCCATATCGAGTCACCTGTTGATGCTCATTAATAATAACTATGTCTTCTTTACTGTGCTACAAATTCCAGTTGAATTACGATACTTATTTAGTTCACAGCAGTAAATTATGATAGATACAAGTCGGGGATAGATTAATGTTTGAAAAGGGTGTTAATATAGCTCGAAAAACTTGTTCTGCTCGAATCTATACATACGTAGTTCTTGTGCTTCATTTTTCTTTTTGTTTTAATGTTTATTTTGCGCTAAAACCGCAAAAAGTTTTGCGGTTCTGCCACGACACAATCTTATCATCTAATGTTCTAAAAATAAAGCCAACAACAATAGCAGAAACAGAGTGGATGGGGCCCCATCGTCAGTTCCGTCCCTGAGCCTCTGGAACTTGGAGCGAAAATTGTCGCTCAACCTTTTTCAGCTCTATCTCGATATCTATGTATCTCTATCTCTATCTGTGTGTGTATATAGTACATATGTGCTTTGAGTGTATTTCTATCAAGGTATCTGTATCTCTATCTGTATCTGTATAGTATATCTTGCTATATACACCAGCATTGTATGTTTTTGCAAATTTTGCTAACAACAAAAATTTCATTTTCTTCTTCGGGTTGTATTTTTCTTGTTTTCTTTTAGACCGACCGTGTGATCATTTAGCGTACTGCTAATTCAATTTGTATCTTCTGTTCTTGGTTTCGTGTGCCTGTTTTCTTTTTAAGTGTATATCAGTGAGTGTGTTTTTTTAAAGTTTCGAGTGCAGATTTAATTTGCTCAGATTTAACTAATGAAAAGTTTACTTCATTTACAAAGAGATTTTTATTTCGTTAATGTTCACTTTACTTTTTAAATGTTTAAAAATATATATTCATTTGAAGAAAATATAAAAAAACTGTCATTTGTCAACAAGAACATTGACGCCTATAATTAAATTAGAAGTTATACACTAAATAAAACTAATAAAATGTTGCCATGTTTTTGTAATCTAAAAATCGGCGGGAATCAGGCGAGCATCAATATGGTAACAAACATATCCGATTAGCATATGGAATACCTACATCAAAGTCTACTGATAAAGTGAGTCTAAAAGGTGAATGACTAAGAAAAGAATCTCCTTTAATCTGACTAATAAATATTATTTTCCTTGTAACATTTCTTCTTTCAGGAAGTGAAAGTATTTGTTTAATGTCTTTTGTTTGGCACTGTTTCTGAAAAATAAAATATTCCAAATGAATTAGGAAAAGTCGCTGACTCTCTTTTTGAAGGAGCAATATTTGTTCGGTCAATTAACAGGAGATTGTGGACTTTTAATAACTGTACTGCCCTGTTGGCCAATAATCAATGGTGTTTGCTTTTTATAATTTAAACTTTTCTGCGGGATGTGTAGCAAAAATTCCACTATAAAAAATTTGACACTTGAATGTCGTTGGCACTGCATAAATTAGACGGAACATGATAGACATGAGTGACCGTGGCCAAATCAATGCCAACGACATGGCTTAGTTTCCTCTCCCTCGTCAGCTTAGCAACAAAGGAAGACGTTGTATGTCTGTTGGCTTTCCGAGAGGCCTCGATATCCTTGTACCTGCTATTGGATTTGCATATATGCAAATGCACTAGTCAAGCCGTAAATTCCACCCAGTATCGTAATTGACGGTGAAGGGTGCACAGCTTCCTTCTTTGAGAATTCGCTAATTGTTTCTAGTGCAGGCGGCGTCAGTTAAACTCCTTAACTGTTTGAAGTGCAAGTTGTAGTAGATTTAAGACTTGGTCTTAGTAATAAATATTGTCAAAAGTATTATAAAGTCAGCATTTTTACGGGTTCAAAGTTGTTACATAATAAGTTTGAATACCAGATAAATATATATTTATAGAGTAAAAATAACCAAGAAAATGAACAGATCTACACAAATTTAAGTTGAACTATGCTTCAGCAATAGTCGGCGGAAAGGCAACAAAAGCCGGATCCGGAACCACGGCAGTTTTCACCATTTTGAACGACAAGTGCATAAGCCTTATCCGCCGTAATTGTGGAGCGTTAAATGAGAGAACCTCTAAATGCAGCAAGGATTCCCGTTGACATGGCATCGCGGTTCCCTCTTATTATTCCCTGCCACTCCATTCGTCCTGCACTTATGTACATGCGTTGCTTTGGGAGCCACTTATTCATTCATGCTAAATTTCAGGACCCAAAAATCCACGCATAAGGAGACCTTTTGATCGATTAAACATCAAATGCGGTGAGACTGCAAATAATTTCATTCTTATTAAATTCAAATGTTAAATAGCTACCCAAAAATATAATTATAAATGATTTTATATACATTGGACAATATATTTCTCCACAGTACTTGCGCAGCTTCTCCTAGCAATTAGTAGAAGTAATAGCATCGTCAAAACTCTTGCGCTAAATATAAACGGAACATTGCACATTCACGACGCTGTGCAACCAGCAGTCAATGAAAGAACTTTTGCTCTTTGCAATACATTCAAAATACACATTGATTTTTCGTGTGAATGCTGATCAGATTGTTAAAGAAAACTGAATAGTACTCAATCAAAAAGTCATTCGGATTTCATAAAATTAAATGATTAGTTTAGATATTTAAGCGGGGTCTATTCTCGCGATTCCCTTGAATAATGCTCGAATCAAGCGTTCTGTTATGTTTAATTAATTGACAAATCTAGACTCAATTTTCCTCTTAACGTTTTCAAAACTTAAGCACTTAAGGCAGGTGAAGTTTTCGACTTGGTCGAGAACTCGCCAAGGAGTTGCCGAAAATTAGTTAAAGTTAAATAAACATAAACAAATTGTATTGTTGTTTAAATTTGATTGCCAAAAAAAACTAACTCCAAAATCGTAATAAAAAATAATTAACGGGAAATTTTGAGAAAACTAATTTTCTGACGCATTTCTGTGGTCTCCCAAAAGCTGAGAGAATTTAATTGTGCCAATGCACGGGCTTTTCTACTGCTGCCCTTTGTTTTATGGCTTTATTCAGGGTCCTGTGGGGCATGTGACATTTGACAAACGGCAGAGGAGAGACGGCAAAGGACCATTGAAACGCATTCTATAGACATTTGTGCTTTAAAGTTTCATAGAGGAATTAGTTTTAAGTGTTGGTTCGTTTGTTGTTTTATTTAAGCATAATTGTAAGCGAATTTCTTTGCAAGACATCCATGAAAATTCAGAAACAGATTTCTCACCTCATACAATATAACAAAATAAATACACTTTTCAATTGTATATATATTTTCGAATGTTTTCCTTTAGTGTCCCCTAGACTTTGGCCAAGTTTGTTCATCTTGCCAATGCTCAACAAGTTGCGGGGGAAAAGTTCAACTAAAGAAGAAATCACAACCAAACTAAAAAAAAAAACCAAGGTCAGTTTAGTTCATTGCCACTGCTTGATTTTGTTGCCTTTTTCTGATGTTTAAAATTTCTTAAAAATAAATAATTGCGGTAAGTCACGGGTGGAAAAGTTAATTGAATCAATAAAGTCTAAAAATGTTAACATTACGTGTTCGCTTTTAAGAGAATGAGATTTAGTTTTCTTTATCCGTTTTTAAGCTGGAAATTATTTAGGATGCGTGAAAACTTAGACTCAAGTACGTAACTTGAACTACCAAAGTGTAAGATGAATGCAATTACTCAGTGGATTATCCTAAATTTGGTTAAGATACGATTCGCAATTCACAACAGATGAAAGCAAAATCTGCCTTGCATTAAACCAAATTTACATAATTGTACCAACAATGTTGCTTATCTAATCTATTGGTCGATTTCGGAAACATTGTTTCCTCGGCACTCTCCAAAAGTCTCACCTTGGGCAAGCACTAGCATCTTAAGGCTCCTTTCACCGCTTTAGCAGTTCGGGTCGCTTTGCCAGAGAGTTGTTTATGTTTAGGCCCAGGGGCGTAGCACTAAATTATGTTGTTTTAACTTGGCGTAAATGGTCCTTTCCGGTGTTTCGGTGTTTCTAGGTGCTATGGCAGCGGTGTCTATGTGCCCGGAAGCGATGTTTTGCTTAGCTTCCAAGATATTTCATGGTCTCACCCTCCGGCACTACCCTCCGCACTTTCGTGTTACCCCACGGTTCAGCGGTTTTATTTGCATAAATTAGGTCCTATAATAGAAACTGCAGTAATTCGTTGATGTGCGAAATATTTGATTAGTTTAGTAATAACAAAATGTAATGCGGTTAATATGGTTTAAGCTTATAGAAAGAATGCTTTACAATTTTAGCTAACTTTATAACAATAAAACTAACAAATAGATAGCATAGAAAACAATTATTTTATGTTGGTTTATTACACATTATAAACTGTAGAAGCAGGGAGTTCATTTTCCCGTAGGGGAAACTTTTTAAAAATTTTCCCGTTTTTGTGATTCAACGCCTTGGGGACTCGACCGCGACTCAATTTTCAGCGAAAAATATGCGAGAAACCACTTGCCCTTATCAGGGTTCCTGCCTAGCTGAAGGACAACTTTCCTCCTCTATCATTGGCAATATATGGGCTTGCCTTTGGTCGCCAATTTGAGTGTTTTTGTTTAATAAACAAATAGGTAAGTGAAGTAGATTGGAGAAAACGACGCCACCAAGTCGGTGGAAAGTCTACAAAGGGTTTTTCTTGTTCATGTTGCTGTGGCTGTTTGCCTTAATTTTCGGGCGGGGCTCCTTTTATTGGCATTAATCGCAGCCGGGGTAAGGGAAAAGGAAACTGCGACGTGTGAGTCAATATGCATACCTCCTGGACACCACCTCCATATATCCCTCCATAAATTTACGACTCTTGAAGCTTTTAACAACTGTTTGTCCTGCAATTTCCCACAAACGAGACAGAGAAGGAAAATTTATTATTATTTTTATGGGCGCTGCGAATTGCTTTTCCTCATCAAGTTAAATGTGAGGCAGAGTCGAAGAAAGAACGGAAATGCGTGGAAAAAACATCCTGGGCTAGGGACACTGACAAACAAGTTTTTTAATAACTTGGCTGGATCCCGGAGTTTTCTTGAAAACTAAAGTGAGTTAGTTTGCATAGCATACTTATAAGCGTACTCGCTGCTGGAAAGTAATTAACTCTGTACCACTCCACTCACAGTACATCCTTGTTACTGCCACTACACTTTGGCGTAGGCGTGTATCCATACGTTACCCGCGAAAATATTAAAAAAAAGGAACACCAGCGGCAGCTTAAACTCAATTTGTCACCGTGCTATATACGATGTTAGTGGCCGTAGTGAAAAAGTAGAGAAATCGGACAGTGTGGGTGGTGCATGATGGTGAGGGGTATGGCTACCTGCAATTGATTTTGAATGTCAAAGGGGCTTTACGGTGACCAACAGAGGCCAGATTGGCACTGCATTGGCGATATCATGAACAGAGTTTCCTTTGACAGCGAGTAGTATTTATTAGATTTAATATCTCTGAAAAAAACAATACAATTTATATTAACATCTCTTCCAGGCATAATATTTCATTTTAAAATTTAAGATCCAGGACAGCATGGCCTTACCGTTTTATCTTATCGTTTTTTTTACATTTTATTCTTATAGGTAAGGTTACTCATATGTTTTCAGTATTTCACGGTTGATTCAATTTTGTTGCCAATTTCTTTGGCCCTTTGCGAAGCCAGCAGTTCAGTCTGTTAGCCAGTTTCTGCACTTTTCCGTCCAACTTCCCACCCCACATATGTATATTTACAGTTTGCAGTTAAGCCAGCTTTAATTGGGACACTTACGATTGCTCATAATAATCCGTGAAACATATTTTCTGAGTAAAAGCTGCGTTTCTTCGGAAAATGCTTGTGAGCCGTTTTTACTTACAACTTCTCTTTTAATATTTGTGCGCTTATGCCTGTTAACTCGAGCTAATTTGTTGCAACTGCAAGTACTTACTTAATTGGCATCATTAGGCTGCCAAGCTGAGTAACATATGTATATTGAACCAAACGATAAAGTTTAAAGGATGCGTTTTTCAAGAGTAATAAATATCCTAGGCTTAATAAAGTAAAATACAAAACAATATTAATAGTAAATCTTAACAAGTTACACTTGGAATTAAAATATACATATGTAGATATATTTTTGTTTTGTTTTATATTGACAATTATTTTTTACTTTGAAAATAAAGAATTCTCGTTATAGAGCGTTCCACGGTCCTTGCGTTCGTTGTGGCTTTCTGCTGGAGCCACACAACGGCTGACTGGCTTCAATGGTTACGCACCGACAGGGTCGAACGGGATATTAAAAATTGGGCCCACTTAGAAGCGCTTGTTCCTCTCCAGAACTATCCGTAGTTCAGGGTCCACAATAAGGAAAGATGCAGTCGGGGGAAACGAACTCATCCAGTGGCTTATACACAAATTTACCTTTCCGATTTTTCTGCTATACAAATTAATTTTTTTCATTGCACATACAACCGATCGATAGCAATTTGAATGGGATGGATGCATTTAAATGCAAATTCGTGTTATTATATTTATTTACCAGCGGCAAACATGCCTTTATGGATTTTTTAAAGCAAATGATTTATAATTCCTTCAGAGTTTTCCATGAATAAGTTGTGTTTGTTTAATTGGACGGAAATTGGTCCAGGAAATGTAGAAAGATACATGTATTTGTAAATAAAAAGCGTATTATGAAATTTATTATTATAAATATTTGTTGAGGTTTTTATACTCGGTTGCATTTCCTTTAAACGTTTGAGCTAAAATATCATTTAAGACAGTAAAATTTAAGAAATATAATTAATCAAAAATATTATAACAAATTAATATTGAATTAAGGATTTTTATTTTTGTACAGATTCCGCTAACAACAAATATATAAAAGCCATACATGATACATATACCTGATAGCGTCTGACACAGGATCCACATGTGTATATGCTACCTCAAAATTGGATATCTTGTGGTAAAATTTATTCGACAGAAATAAGCGATAAATCCGCAGAGCTGTTTTCCTGGCCTCGATAATAGCTGCACAATATTAAAAACAATAATACAAACAACAACACAAAAATCAGGTGAGCTAAAGCTATTCCTCTAATAAGTTGAGTTTCAATTTCAAATTGAATAACATTTTTCGGTCCCCTTTAATAATAATAATATTTTACAAAAATAACTTATCTTTTATTCAAGTTTATTTAGTTTTGTTATATTCCTGCAGGGTTTTATAATTTGTTTGTAAAAGTTTGAAACGCAGTATATGAGCCGTTTCCGGCTGTATACTGTATATACATATATATCCTTGATAAACATCAACAGCCTAGTCGATTTAGCCATGCCCTTCTGTTTCTCCGTCTCAGTAAGCCCGGTTCAGTAAGCCTCTCAGTTATTGCTATGTATATATGTATGTAGCTGTCACAAAAGCGATCTAATTTAAACAGCAAACGGTATACAAACTTGGGTTTCCCGAAGTAAGATTCCTTTCCTTCAGAGCAGCCTCCTCCTGCAATGAATCTTTCTATGGCGTTTTCTCGAAACTAGGTTTTTCAAAGTGGTTAACAAGTTTTCTTATAAACGAGTTGACCAATCTTGACCGATCTGGCCATGGACATTTTTTTATTTTTAGGATATGTTCAGCCTATATGAGATTATATCATGAACTAATGCAGAATCTAGGATATTTAGGAAAAGTTAATAGTTTTTATTTTACACCGCAAAATTTGCTAAACAATATGCGCTTTTTAAAGATGCATTACTTATGTGTACTTTACATTTTGATTTGGGATGACCCAGTCAGCCATTCAAAAATATAAAAAAACTAAACTATTACATGGGACAACTCCCTTAAGAAAATGGTATCGTTTTTATCTGTAATAAATAACAATTTGTTATATTTTTTATTGTTTTAATTTTTACTACATTTATCCCTGACAACGACCAATGTTTCACATACTCGGGGCTTACAATTTACTTAAAATGTGCTAATTGCATATTTAACCACATCTGAAAAAATTAACGACATGTGCAAAATTTGTGCAATGAAAACTCGTTCGACATTCTTATAAATATACTTCGCACAAAGGTACATACAAACATATATCGTAAATGTGTATAAATATATTTTCCGATGTTATTTCTCAATTTTCAACGTCAGCTGCTGGCTCTACAAACTGGCTCGAATTTCTGATACTTTCCACGCATCAAAAGGAATTTATTTAAAAGTGGGCTTATTGTGGCTAATTGCCTTGTTTCTTTCCTTTCATATTGGTTCTCAATGTAAGAAAATGAGCAGAGTTTATTTATATAAATTTAAAGCAAAATATCACAATTTAAAGGGAATTATTTTTAATGTGAAATTATACCGGAGAATCCCTAACCACCACCTTCTCTAAATATGATTTCATTAGCAGTAGCTATCATAATTTACACAGTTGTTATTCTATTCAGTTTCCTGTATATATATTTTAAAAGAAACATTTTAAAAGATCTCCATACTTCATAAGCCCGCGCTTAGCGACACTAAACCAAACATAGAGATCGAGCAATGTGTTGCCACTTTATTATGCACGATAAATTAATGATAATTTAAAGATAACTTTTATATAAACAATAAATACGGTCTCTCGACATTTTTTGCGGTCTAAAAATAGAATGCATACAGTTACAAAGAACGGCGATTAGTAATATGAAACGACGAGACGCCGACTGGTCGGGGCTCCATTGCACTATGGGGTTTTTGACCACTTTTTGTGGCATTTAATCATTTTTTAAAAGTTCTTAAATTTAAAAAAAAATAGTGGGATTGTATTAACAAAACATCGAACTGTTATGCCTCATACTCAAAATGTTAATACTTAACAGCATATGTTAGCAACAGAGCTGTAAAGTCAGCTGTTGCATCCGAAAGCGCGTCTGCTAAGTTTGTAGTTTTTACGGAGTGATCTTTGAAATTAAACTATTCGTGTAAGACACAATTTGCAAAGGAAAAAACTAATGGACACTGATTTCACAGGTTTTAACTACATGTTAAAGGTATTAATTGTTTAAATTGTGCGTGTTTATACTGACATTTTGTCATTTTATAAATGCACCTTATGCTGAATTTTGAGAAACAAATTTCAACTTTGGTAAGAGTTTTGAAATAGAAGTTCGCATTAGTTTTTAATGCGTCCAAGTGTATGTTGTAGCGTTGTCAATTCTGAGCAAAAATCAGTTCGTTTTATTGTGCACTTTTCCGCACTTTTGTTGCAATTTGAATTTTTCTCAGATAACCTCACTGTTTTCAGAGCCAATTTGGTAGCTGTTTGTATGGAAAAACACTGATTTCCGGTACTTTGGTTATTTTGGTTCCTAGGGAAAGCGTTGTCCGATTTTGTTCAAAATTGCTATATCGTGTTAAAATAGCAACAAATATAAGCTCCTTAAATTTCATTAATTTATCTTTACTTTTACCCGATCGTTCCTATGGGAGCTATAGGATATAGTTTCCTGATCCGAACGATTTTCATACTATATATGCCTAGGGACAAATAATGATGATTGGTAAAGCTTCATGTCGATATCTTCAAAACTGATCGAGTTATTAATTAATGCCACAAAAACTGGTCAAAAACCCCATAGTGCATTGATATAGCTTTATATATGTACATACATATATATAAAATGGAAGTATATATCGAATCGAAACATTGATATGAAAACAGGAAAAAATGAGCATTCGTTGTTTATTCATGAGGCATAGCGGCGTGTGTGGTGGATAAAGCTTGAAATACAAATTTTAAGCTGATTAAGCCGAAGGTGTCAGTAGACCTCCAACTCTGGGATTATTCTATGCATACAGAAAAATCTGTGCCAGCTATAAATAACAGCAAACGTTGTAAAATATTTAAGTAATTTAAATTTGTGGTGTTTGCTCGTATAATATGACAGAAAACTGCAAATACCGATGGCTGACTCATCGGTCTAGATGATCCCGATATTCCCGCACACAGCTATTTGAAAAATATTTCCCTTTCGCTTTTCATTGTCGAATAACTCTCCCTGAATTCAAACACAGAATGTGAATGAGAAGTGAAACAGTTTGGTCCCTCCTCTTCGGTTTATCTATTCACTTTCCTCGTAATGCGGAACTCAGCTAAGCCACCCAATTACCATACAATCCGCTGCCGTTCAAAGCAAACCAAAAAGGTACAAAAAGAACAAAACCAAAGCAAAACAAAAAAGAATAGAATCAAAAATCATTGTCTATATGGTCTACTGTTTTGGCTACTCCTTGACGAACAAAATCTCTTGAAATGTATACAGACTTCAGCTGTCATTATTAGCGTAGCAAAAAACAAAACAAAAGAAAACAAAGGCGCTAGGGGAATAAATTTGTTAAGCAGCAATTAAACGTCAATGGCAACACTTGAAAAACGATCCAAAGACGATGGATCGGTTATTTTGGCTCTGTGGAGCGGCCCGGCCCGAGTGGTCTTATAACTGACATTTTCAAGTGATTATATTGTTCAACTCGGGTTTGTTTTCCCTCACCCTCCCCCACAAGCTCCCAATACCTTGGGTAATTATTTGCTTTTGTTTGTCGACATCCAATCATTTGGTTATCTTGAGGTCTTATCAAGTGCTTCGGCTGTACTTATGTACAATATACTTGTACATATAGCCAGTAATTCTTTTTTGCCTTAACAATTTACGTGAGTGTTCGCGGGGATGATGAATGTGATACGAGTATTACTTTGATTGGGAGGCGAAGGCGCCGGGTAATTAGCTTAAAATTATGTACAAGCCCACATGAATGAAGAGCATGGAAGAGCCGCAGAGTCCATCAATCAATGGAACGTCGGCGACGAGCCGCTCTCCGTATTGTTTGTCGGAGGGGAATTCGGTGGCTATGAGTTCAATGGGGCCTATCAATCAATGAGTAACTTGAGTCGAGCCACAATTCAATTAGCCAAAGAGAGGTCAATTGTATGTGAGTAAGTCGCAAAGACGATCGTTCTTTTTTCTCAGCTTTAAATTAAGAAATTTAAATTTGATAGTATTAATATTAAAAGTAAATCCAAACAATTTGAAATTCAATCTAAAAGCCGACTCCCATTATACTTGAAGAGTATTTGATTGGACATCATTGTCGGATATTTTAGCTTAATACCAATTAATTGGATAAGTCGGAAAGAAAAATCAAGGCAAAACATTCGAACATTCAGTTTGGTTAAAAGCAAAAGATACATAGAGATGCCTGAACAACCAACAAACCACATATCATAAAGTGTCAGATTTGAGTTTTTTTTCTATTAATTTTTTGTTGTTGTTGATTTGATGTTTTTGAATGTTTTTCTTGTGACCTGGAAGTCAATGGCAATTGGTAGATTGAGTGGTTGCCGACGACCTGCGCTAGAAGAGGTGACGCCAGTTGGGCTGGGCACGTTTCAGGCAGATCTCTTCTTTTTTTTGGGTATTTGTTTTGTTTTTTATATGCCGATTGTAATCTTGAAAAGACCTCAACTGCTTAATTAATGCGTTTTCGCTTTCTACTTTTTCGGTTGTCGCGTGGCCAGACGACAGTGACTAATCAGAAAATAGAAATGTGTTTTTTTTTTTCGGGGCTTCTCAGCTTGTTGCCTTCTTTTATGTTATTTTTTTTATCCAACAATTCTTCCTGGGGGGTTAATTGAGTGGGACCAGACCGCCTGCCTTTAGTTCGGCTGAGTTAAGTTGAGTAAGCAAATTGCATTAATTTGTGTCTTATTATTTAATAACAAAATAAATAGACAACGGCCGACAGCGAATTGATAGAGTGCTCGAATGAGAATGAGAATGAGAAGTGGGTGTTGTGTATTTAGCACTGCCGGCGCTGCTTACTGAGCAATTATTTTAATCCCATTCAATTAGGAATCAACCGTACCGAATGGCGCCGAACCATAACACGTACACGTTTTATTCCGAATCCCCCGTTTTTGGTCATTCAACTGAGCTTAATCCTAGGTTCATTTGATGCTGAACATTATTTTACGAAAATCAATTTTTCCTCGATTTGCTGTTCTTCAAGATTTTTTCGCAATTTGCTTAATCCTTGAAG